AGCCAATCAGTAAACTTACAGGGACTCAATAGCTTCTGTTTGGTCAATTAGTGTGGCTGAGTAATTTGCCAGAATAAGTTAACAGGCCTCCCGACTTCGACATGGCGCCCAACGTGGGGCTCTGTTAAAAGTCAAACTTTTACAGAGTTAAACTACAAGAACCAAAACGGCCTAGTGACAACGGTCGATGAGTGTCAATCAGCGAAATACAGGCTGAAAGTCTTAAGTTTAACCAAATCCTAGAAAAAATAATTAAACCTAAAAGTGTAGTAACTAATGTTGACACTATTGCGGACTGAGGGTTATATTATATTGGATATTGCTGTCTGTTTAAAAAAGCTAAAGTAGGCTCTTCTTCCCCTAGCCAAACTCGGAAGCCCCTGTGGTCCCTAATGCACAGGTTTGGTGGCTAGTAGTTATTAGTGAAGTCAGCCGTAGGAGCACTGTGTTACGAACTCAGACACTCAGGATGTAGGACCCAATTGCACGACCCGGGAGACAGAGGTAAGTATTGGTAAGATACTTTATTTTTCCAAAACACGATGAACAAAAAATGGTCACTAACTAATATCAGGATGAGATGACAAAAAATGAGAACAAAAAGGAAAATCGCTCGCTTTTCTTGAGCACAAAGAGAGTATAGACCTGACTATGGCAAGAGACAAGACGAACTGACACTGAACACTGAGAGACAGGGGAATTTAAACACAGGATAACAAGACACAGGTGGGGACAATCAGGGGCGGGGCTGACGCTGATGAGCACAGGAGACACACAAGGGAAACAGGTGAACACAATCAGACACACCAGGGAAACTAACGACAGGGAGGAAAACACAGGGAGAAGGACCAGACAATACACAAGGAGGAAAACATGACAGGGAGAACAGAACAGCAAAAACCCATTACCAGACACACCAAACTAAAACCGTGACATGATATAAGAATCGTGACAGAACCCCCCCTTCAAGGGACGGATTTCAGACGTCCAAAAAAAATCCAAAATGGTGGGTGGAGAGGGTCCGGAACAACAACCAAGAGGCACAGTCCATGATGGGTGTCTCCGGCGGACAGCCCAGGGGCAAGACAGAGCCCATGATGGAGTTCTCGGGCGGACGGCCCGGGGGCAAGGCAGAGTTCATGGTGGAGTCCTTGGGCGGATGGCCCGGGGGCAAGGCAGAGTTCATGGTGAAGTCCTCGGCTGGGGAACTCAGGAGACCGGGCTCGAGGGCGAAAGCCGCTGGGACTCAGGAGGCCGGGCACAAGGACGGGCAGGAGCTCGTGGAACCCCTGGCGGGTCAGGCTTAGACGAGACCCTGGACAGAAACTGGGCTGGTGTCAGTGGGACCCACGACGGAGCAAGGGCTGGTGTCGATGGGACCCGAAACAGGACAGGACACGGTGTTGGCAGGAAACTCGGCAGAGCAGGTGTCGGCGGGACCCCCAACGGGACAGGACATAGGGTTGGCAAGACCCCCGGCAGAAGAGTAATCGGCGGGACCCCCAACGGGACAGGACATGGAGTTGGCAGGACCCCCGGCAGAAGAGTCATCGGCGGGGCCTCCAACGGCACAGGACACAGGGTTGGCAGGACCCCCGGCAGAAGAGCAGTTGGCGGGACCCCCAACGGGACAGGACACAGGGTTGGCAGGACTCCCGGCAGAAGAGTAGTCGGCGGGGTCTCCAACGGCACAGAACATAGGATTGGCAGGACCCCCGGCAGAAGAGTAGTCGGCGGGGCCTCCAATGGCACAGGACATAGGGTTGGCAGGATCCCCGGCAGAAGAGTAGTCGGCGGGGTCTCCAATGTCACAGAACATAGGATTGGCAGGACCCCCGGCAGAAGAGTAGTCGGCGGGGCCTCCAACGGCACAGGACATAGGGTTGGCAGGACCCCCGGCAGAAGAGTAGTCGGCGGGATCTCCAACAGCACAGAACATAGGATTGGCAGGACCCCCGGCAGAAGAGTAGTCGGCGGGGCCTCCGACGGCACAGGACATAGGGTTGGCAGGACCCCCCGGCAGAAGAGTAGTCGGCGGGACCTCCAATAGCACAGGACATAGGGTTGGCAGGACCCCCGGCAGAAGAGTAGTCGGTGGGACCCCCAACGGGACAGGACATGGAGTTGGCCGGACCCCCAGCGGAACCCCCAGCGGAACCTTCAACGGACTTGAGAGGGAACACGAGAGGAGACTCGAGAGGGAACTCGAGAGGAGACTTGAGAGGTGACTTGAGAGGGACGACAGGACACGGGGAGCTGGCGTCGGCCGGAGAGCCAGTACTGGAGCCGAAACCATGGCTGCTGGGGCCGGTTCTGGAACAGGAACCATGGCTGTTGGGCACGGAACAGAAGCCTGGACCCTGGCTGTGTGAGCCAGGTAATGGAGCACGGAAGCATAGCTGTGTGGGCCGGTATTGGTGCAGTATTGGTGCACGGATCCATGGCTTTGTGGGCCGGTACTGGTGCACGGATCCATGGCTTTGTAGGCCGGTTCTGGAGCCGGAACCATGGCTGCTGGGGCCAGAACTGAGGCTGGAACCATGGCTGCTGAGGCCAGAACTGGGGCCGGAACCATGCCTGCTGGGGCCAGAACTGGGGCTGGAACCATGGCTGCGTGGGCCGGTTCTGGAGCCGGAACCATGGCTGTGTGGGCCGGAACTGGAGCCGGAACCATGGCTGCTGGGGCCTGTACTGGAGCCATGGCTGCTGGGCACGGAACCGGAACACGGAACCATGGCTGTGTGGGATGGTACTGGAGCACGGTACCATGGCTGTGTGGACCGGCACTGGAGCACGGAACCATGGCTGTGTGGGCCAGAACTGGAGCCGGAACCATGGCTGCTGGGGCTCGGGATGCTAGCCTGGACCTGCTACTCCTTCTCTTAGGAGCCTTTTGGAGGCTCCGTGGACCTCCAAAGGCCAGACGAGTACCCGAGAACGGCTCCTGGACAGGAGCAGGAAATGGGGAAGAAGCAGGGGTTGACTTCAGACGGAACACACTGAGACGTATGGTGTCAGGTTGGGAATTGGGAGGCAGGGGGCTAGCATGCCTGGGGCTAGCAGGCCGGGAATCACATGTCGAAAGGAAGTCCAAAATCCAGTCAAGTAAGAACTTCACTAAACATGGTTTCTCTGTTGCCAACTGGTGCGCCTCTACCAGAGCCGCCCTCTTCTGCCGAACACTGGACGCTCCCTTCCACCAATCAAAGCAGCAAGCCAAATAAAAGGTAAAATGTTGTAATTCTACCTCAAATGTATCATCTGCTGGGTCCATTTGTGGTTGGTTCATTCTGTTAGGGTTGGGGAAAAATAGGACCCAAATGCAGATTGAGGAGGGAAGCAGGTTTCAAAATGAAACAAAAGGCGAGCTTTATTCACAAAAGCTGAAAAAACAAGAATCCATGAACAGGTAGCATCCAAACCAAAGGTGACTGTGACCAACATGAAGGGAGACATGAACGACAAATAATGAACCAACACCGAACACAGGAAGAGACAAGACTAAATATTACATTACATTTAGCTGACGCTTTTGTCCAAAGCGACTTACAATAAGTACATTCGACCAGGAAGACACAACCTTGAAGAAAACAGAATCATATAAGTACATCAGGTTTCATAGAGCCAAACATTTCAAGTGCTACTCAACTGGCTATAGATAAGCCAGTCTTTTATTAGTATATAAGTGCTCTGTTAGCAGTTATTTGTTAATAGTTCTATCGCTCGAAGTGGAGTCGAAAGAGATGAGTTTTCAGTCTGCGCCGGAAGATGTGCAAGCTATCTGCTGTCCTGATTTCAATGGGGAGCTCATTCCACCACTTTGGAGCCAGGATAACAAACCCACGTGTTTTTGCTGATGGGAACTTGGGTCCCCCTCGCAGCGAGGGTGCAGCGAGTCGTTTGGCTGATGCAGAGCGGAGTGCACATGCTGGGGTATACAGTTTAACCATGTCCTGGATGTAGGAAGGGCCAGATCCATTCGCAGCATGGTATGCAAGTACCATTGTCTTGAAGTGGATTCTAGCAGTTACCGGAAGCCAGTGAAGGGAGCGGAGGAGCGGAGTGGTGTGGGAAAATTTAGGAAGGTTGAAGACCAGACGAGCCGCTGCATTCTGGATGAGCTGCAGAGGTCGGATGGCACATGCAGGTAGACCAGCCAGGAGGGAGTTGCAGTAGTCTCGGCGTGAGATGACGAGAGCCTGGACCAGAACCTGCGTGGCTTTCTGGGAGGGGTAATCACGAGACGAGAAACAGCCGGGCAGGGAAGGAGAAACACAAGGGCAACAGGTGAACACAATCAGACACACCAGGGAAACTAACGACAGGGAGGAAGACAAGACACAGGGAGAACAGAATAGCTAAATAAAACCATGACAAGACAATGACACCGATTGACATCACATATTTTAAGTGATTTAACATAGATATAATGTACAATTTAAAAAAGGAAAAACATGTTACCCTAAAACCAATGCTTAGGCTAACATCAAGTGTTTAAACACACGATGAAAAACAAGAATCCATGAACAGGTAGCATCCAAACCAAAGGTGACTGTGACCAACATGAAGGGAGACATGAACGACAAATAATGAAATAACATCAAGTGTTTAAACACACGATGAAAAACATATTATTCATCAATAATTATAATCAAAACATAAAATACATATTATCCTGAAATGGACCATCCTGCATAAATGAGTACTTTTACTTTTTGTACTTTAAGTATATTTTTATGCTTATACTTATGGAGTAGGATTTTGAACGCAGGACTTTTATTTGTAACAGAGTATTCCTACACTCTGGTACTTCTACTTTTACTTGAGTAAAGTAGTAATAAGAGTACTTCTTCCACCTCTGAGTATATATCTTTATTAATGTATATGCTATAAATACGAATCCAAAAGCTTGCTCGGTTGCACACAGAATAGACATTCTTCATTAACTACAATAGAAAAAATATCATATTGCGCTTTATTTTTGTGCATGTGTTACTGATTTGTGAGGAAATAACTACAACACTGTGTGACAGCAATTGTATTTAACATCATAGACTCAAACATGAATTAGCTTCTAGATAAATCACACACATAACTCTCATCTCTACATATTAAAATGTATAACATCACAATACAAATGCTTAAGAAAACAGCTCTGAGCTAATTATGTTAAAACCAAAGATCTTGGCCAACATAAAGCAGCATTTAAAAAAATGTCAGACAAACTAAACTGAGCAAGTGTTGGTCCTTTTATATCAAATGATCGCTATATACTGATATGATAAATTAGGTTACTGCATCTCTGAAAAAGTCAAAGAAAAGCATAGAGTAGAAGTAGACTGCAGTGTTTAAACAGATAGAGCTTTCTTCTGGCAGATCCATTGTTGTTTCTGATCACAGCTCACTGATAACCATGTTGTTCTGAACCAGACAGAGACAGAGAGTGCACAGTGACCCTCAGTAGGTGGGTCTACCCAGGAGCTGAGGGAAAAACAGGAAGTTTAGATAAAGGCTGATTTGTATGATTCAAAATGTTTAGTAACGTGTCTCTTACCTATTAGTCAGATCACTTCCATCTGCCCACTTCCATTTCCCGTTTTCAACTCTCAGGCCAATCCAGTGTCCGTTAGTCCCTAAACTCCATAGGCTGTAATCCAAGAGGATGTTCTGACAACAGATAGAAAGTCATCAGGTATTTAAACATAATACTCAAATCAACATGTTATGAAATAGATTTAGCCGAAGTTGGGAAATTATTTGTCACAGCAGCAATGTTTTCAGGCGATCTTAAAATCTTCAAAGGAGAGGGGACAAAGAATAAACATCATAAAATTAAATAAAAAATAAAAACAATAAACAGCAGCAAGTATTAACAGTAGAAAGGACATGAACCATAAATAATACTCCTAAGTTAGACTGTTCTATAAAATACCCATATAATACAGTAGCAGAAACACAAATATACGATAGTATATAAATTACCGTTGTGTACATTAACTGTTGTGCAAAATGTTCATGCTAATGGAGAGGGAGAAACTAAAACGTTCAGACTCAAAGTGTGTCCCGACCTACAGAAAATACTTATAATTGTGTTACCTTTTCCCTTTCATTATGTGCGGCAGCCAAATCTGCATTAAGCGCTCTGCAGTATTCTCGAGCTTCTTCCCAGGTTAACCGCTTTGTAGGCACAACATTATTGATCGAATAGCAGCTAGGCTCGTGGTATCCCCAGTTCATCTCACAAGGTCGACACTGTGTCACTGAAACAACAGAGACCAACCCATTATCCACATGACTGCTTTGTAATTCTGATCATTATTATAAATGATACATTTTATTATAAAATAAAGCACATTTCAACAACAAGGCACTTTAAAAGAATTAACCCTTCTATTGTCTTCGTTTTCCCCCCCTTACTTTGGTGTTTACTTTGTTTTGGTGCTAAAATAGGACCGGTCAAATTTGATCGGTCCTATTTTAACTGCTATTCATTAACACAAAAACCATTAATCATCACCACATTTCATTTAACACCCTTTCAAACTATACATATTGTATCAGACTGGTATACATGAAAAACTGCAGTAAATATACAAAGAACAGACACTGAACATGTATTGCGTGTGCCAGGTGTGATTCACATGATGGGGGGATTGGGCACATAAGGGAGGGGGGAACACATTTAGAGTGTGTGTGTGTGTGTGTGTGTGTGTGTGTGTGTGTGTGTGTGTGTGTGTGTGTGTGTGTGTGTGTGTGTGTGTGTGTGTGTGTGTTCTATCTGATCTGGATGGTTAATAATTCCTTTTCTTTATGGCGGTCATAAACCATGGGTGTTACAAAGTTGACTAAATCATCCAAAATGCAATGAAAGTGGTGATCAGCAATTTATATGTTCAAATGTCTACTGTGAAGGATATCATGAAGCCTTGATGCAATCGAATGTAAAACAAAAAAAGTTATGATGAAAGTAGGTCAGATTTGACCCGAAGACAACAGGAGGGTTAAAGGTGTAAACCATAATGCAAAACAAACACATTATATAATGACATTTAAACTAGTGATGTCAATCGATAAAAAGTTTTTGGAGGTTAATAAAACAAATACATGTGTGGTGTTGTAATAAAGAAATATGTTTTAGAGAAATCAGAGGGTTTCTTACTTTATTATAACATTTAGCTAAAGCAAATGCTGCTGCTGTGATTGCCCTCTGTGTAATGCGCGATACCCATATGCTCGTATGGTAGTATACTGCCATACAGTTCTCATATTGCAAGCACTAAGAACAGTGGCGGCGCCAGAGTATTTTTGTTGGGTAATCTATGGTAGGGCTAACCCATACAGTGGTGGGGCTCAAGTCAGTATTTGTAATGTAATTACATCATGGGCGTCGCAGCCATTATATGAGGGTGGGACAAGTCCCCCCCACTTTTTCAAATGATTAGTTTAGACCCCGCCACTTTTACCATGTGGAAAGTCCGTGAATCGGTCTATCCACTCGCCGCACTTTGTAGAGCGCTGTGTCAGTGCTTCATATCAAATCCATTCCACTTGCTTATTGAGAGAATGCCCAAATCAATGAAACTCCGTACCATGTTTTCACTGCTACTTTGTACCAAGGCAGATTCTCACATAGCGCGCGCATGTTTAAGGAGTGTTGTCATAGTTGGACAGCTCAGATCTGTTGTATGAAGCGATGCCGGTAGCGGAGGTAAGGCACACACACCAAGTGTTCAGGACATTGTTAATACAGCGAAAATCAAAGCTGACGATCTCTTGGTTTGATATGTTTTCTCCCCCAGACAACATGGACATAACAACATTTCAAAGAAGAGGAAAGTAAGTCTTCAGCTGGTAGTTAATCAGTTAACAGTGATGGCGGCGGCGGCGTCTCACTTCTGGAGAGGAGTTTCGTCTTTATGTTATGATAGAGAGATACAAATACTGAATAGTTCAGATGAGAAAAGGCATCGAAATGCCAGATTACTAGTATTTATCATGTAAACAGGGAACATGAATAACCCGATCTCTCTGTGCTCATGTAAACACCATGATGTCCATGTAGAGACGCAGTCAGTGTGTTTTACTGGAGCCTCAGTTTGATAAGAGACTATTTTCTGAGTTCTTTAACTTAGGTACTCTCTCTCAAAATGGTAATGTGCATTATGTTTTAATTATACTTCTTATCATTCAGAAGCTTTTTGTGTGTGTTTATGTTTTACTGAGTGCCTATAGGCAATTTCCATCCCAGTATTCAGTTATGTATTTATTTTCTGTGCACATTACATAGACTAGCTAATATTCTACCTACTGCTTGGGACTTTGAGTCTTCAAAATGTCCAATGTCACAGACGGGGACTTACTTTAGAGTCAGTTGTATTTACATTCAGTATGACTTGTTATGATTCAATGTGAAAGAATATACTGCTCAATAAATAGTGATCACTTCACCACCTCTCTTGACATCTAGGCGCTTGAGAGTGAGTCAGAGGCAGAACATAGGGACAGTGGAGAGAGGTCCGTTGCTGAGGTGAGTGATGAAAGGGAAATTACAGTTTAGAGTCAATTGTGATGTGGACTCATCCCAGAATGTTAAGGAAATCAGTGGGGATATTGAACAGGAAATATTTCAGTCAAGGGGCATCATATGACCAATATAGACAGAAGAGCAACATTTAAGTCAGTGATACCATTCCTAGGTGAACTTAACATCTGTATGGAGTCAGATCAGTCTCAATATTAATAAATGCTCACAGAAGGATTCACACATGTATTTTGCGATTTATATATAAATGACTCTCCACACCAATATCTCTCAATGCACTCACAAATATGTATTGTTGTATATAAATGAGTGCTGTCAAAATTATCGCGTTAACGGCGGTAATTAATTTTTTGAATTAATTGCGTTAAAATATTTAACGCATTTAACGCATGTGCAGAATGGCCCGCCCCATACGTGCCACCAGTGGCAGCGCCAGGGTATGGCTGGGGTAGGCTACACCCATACCAAGAAATGGCTTAGCCCCACCATGAAAAATGATGTTAAAGGAAGCAAAAATAAAGTCTGCCAACTCGCGCGGAGTAAATTGCACAGACAGCAGTTAGTAAGATTGATTTCAGTAGCCACGGTTTTGAAAACTTTTGTCACGTAGTGATCGTCTTCTCAATAGAACATCTTTGATAACGGCGTGGTGTTGTTGCAGGAAGTCCCGACAGAGAATACTTTTGCTGTAGTACAGGGGTGCACATAACTGGTACGCAGGTTATGTGCGTAATCTCTCTGAAATGCGTACCGTCACTTGTGTCACAAAGCGCATTTGCGTACCGACGTACTTGTGAAGCTTTTCCAGAAGGCGGTTAGATCACCGGACGACAGAGTCGGTCTCCGTGTGCACAGACAGGGCTGCTGTTAACGTCGGTCTGTACAACGGAATTGTGCCAAAACTACGCCAACCGGCTACGGAGGGAGACTCCCCCCCCTTCACTGGAGAACTGCGCTAAAACAGCTGATCACAACGTTCACACTCTGTGGTCACGAAGTACTCCACTAGCCGCCCCCCCCCCCGTCGACTTTCCTGAAGTACTCCCCCGTTGATAGAAATCAACACGTAATGAATTAAGACCCCACGGTTTGATGATTGATAGGTGTGTGGGTTGTCTTTCATTTTGACACGCAGAAATTTTTTATAATAAACATAGATACTGTATGTTAAATGGATATATCCTCCTTCTTTCATTTATCTTTCCATTCCCACAACAATATGCATTAATAAATGGCATATTTTGGACATAGTTCGAATGGTGATTAATCATGATTAATTAATTTTTAAGCTGTGATTAATCTGATTAAAATGTGTAATCGTTTGACAGCCCTAATATAAATGTAAAAAAAATGGGCATTTAAACTGCTTTTTATTAATTCAAAGACGGCTCTGAATTAATAATCAAATATGTTTCCTTTATTTACTACTGGATGAAATTACAAAATGTACCCATCATTTTCCTCATGCTAGTATAGCCACATACAATTATCAAACCACCCCCCGTTAAAAATGTCCCCCCCACATTCAGGATGCTTCCTACGCCCATGAATTACATACACGCTATATCGCACCCCTTGACAGTGAAACGTACGCGTGAGGCTTTTATTAGTCTCCTTTTATCAGCTAAATTACATCGAGAGCAACAGGTGTGAGTTAAACAATACAATAGCCTATTCTGCTAATTCCAAGTTGTTACAACATGCTACGAAGCGGCAGAAACAAGAAAAGTTGGCATATAAAATTGACACGGAGAGAGAGAGGGAGAGTGAGGGAGAGAGACCGAGACACAGGTAAACAGAGAGAGACAGACACAGCACACAACAGGTAGCCTGTATCTCTATTGTCATACAAAACACTTTTTCACTTATATTACATTATTACATTCCATTATTACAAAATATATTCAAAACTCACTTCACTCTTCAGGTGGGTCGTGTGACTCTGGCACCTGTTCGACTTGTACCTCAATGCGAGGGCGTTTAAGAACACATCTTTCCATCCGAAATATACAATTCATCCTAGAAGTTATGCTGTCTGTCTGCAATTTACTCGGCGCGAATTTGGGGACTTTTCACTGTGAGTGTGAACGTGACGAATCAGTAATGCATGACGCAGCAGACCCAACGTTTCGTTGCTCTGATTGGCTGTAGGTCTGTTCAAATTGCATTCGGAGGCATTTTGATCTGACCGCGGCCGCGCTGATATTATAACGCGAGAGAATGTCCACACCTTTATAAAACTCCCCCACTACTTAGACTATTCATTGCACCCCTCTAGCATAAGCCCGAATGGTCTCAACCATATTGCGTCAGTAACGTGCACTTGTTGTTACAGCAGGATCAGTTTGTGTGTTGTGGAGACGACCGGTAGATTTTCGCAATCCGTGTTCTCAACATGCTTTTACTTTAACATCATTTTTCATGGTCGGGCTAAGGTAGGGCTAAGCCATTTCTTGGTATGGCTGTAGCCTACCCCAGCCATACCCTGGCGCCGCCACTGACTGACGGCCCGTCTACACTACAGGCGTCAAAAAATGCTTTCAACGCTTCGCCCATTCATTTGAATGGGGTGACGTAGGATATTTTCAAACTTCGCAGAACTGCATTGTGGGTAACATGGCAAGGCGTTGCAAGCATCGCGAGCGTTTATCGGCGTCAAAAGTTGAACAATGTTCAACTTTTGAGGCTCGATGCTTGCTCGAAGCTGGCGTCAGCCAATGAAATCCCGTTTATGCAAATCTGCCAGTACAAGCGCTAGCCAATCAAACCGCGTGTATGCTGGGAGAGACTACGCAGGGCATTTCCTCATATTCAAAAAAATGGAGGGAAAATTCATTATAGCGGTAGTGAATCACCCGGTGCTGTATGATCAGTCTCTGTTCATCTACCGGGATACAAACCGGAGGAGCGAGGCATGGAGGGAGGTGGCAGAGACAGTGGGTGAAACTGGTAGGTTTTCGCCGTTTACAGTGGTCACCCTATATCTCTGTGCAATGATTCAGTGAATGCCTTTCCTCTGTTTTCACCACACAGAGTTCTGTCAGGAAGACAGGGTCACATTTAGTAACGTGAGATATTTGCATATTGTTTTACAATATATATTGTCAGGCTTATTTATCTTACAGTTTTTCTCGATTGCTAACACACTAAAATTATACATAAAGCACAATTATTTTAACTGACACTCAAAGATCAAAACATCGGCTCAAATCTCCAAAACCGTTTTCAGCTTTTCACACAATTTGCAAATCAACATGGCACTTTTTGCAAACCACTGCACACGTTTATCCACGTAAGACACAGAAATCTGACATAAAGTCACGTGTTAGCAGGTTTAAAACACTGATATTGAAAAGGCCTCACACATGGACCAATGATCAAGAAACACGTTCCACCTGACCAAACACCTGATAGCATAATGGTTGGTGCATCAATCAGGATGTTAGCACTATAAAAAGACCACAGGTGAGTACTCTCTTACAGCAACAATGGAAGCCAACATGGAAGCAAGAGGAAGAGGTGGGGTGAGAGGAAGAGCTGGGCTGAGAGTGAGAGGAAGAGGAAGAGGTGGGTGAGAGTGAGAGGAAGAAGCATGAGAGGTAGAGGGAGAAGGAGAGGGAGAGGACGTGGACAAAGAAGAATACTCTCTAATGAAATGAAATGTTATCAACCATGGTTTGACGATGAGAGGCTGGACAGAGGGTTCAGCCTAATCTCAGCCGATGTACTGTCGCCTCTGTAATCCGGACACTTAGACTTAAAAACAGGTTAGTTCCCAGTTTGTAGCTCTGCATAGTTCATGATATATCAGTGCTTATATCTGTTGTGTGAAACGTATTTACTTCATTACTGTAATTGAATTGTTGGCATGTTGCAGACTATAACTGTACAAACATCCTGCACAATGTACTGTGGGTAAACTTACTGTTATGCAACACAGACACTGACCAACCACTATATCTTTGTTGTTTATCTGAAGGACTGAGAAACAAAGAGGTGGAAGGCTAAGGATGTTCAATGAGGCACAGGAAGCAGCAGTTACTAACTGGGTTTTGGCAAACAATGCATCACACTTTTTTTTTCAACAACTCATTTGTATTTCTTCATTTACTGTATTTCTGTAAACTCAAGCAATCTTTCTCTGCAGAACCCTCTCTGTACAGAGCACAGCCCAGAACAGATGAGAGTGCTTTAGAGTATGCTCAGCAGTGTGTAGCTGGGTGGTCAAACAGTCTAGTGTTATGAATGAAGTGCGTGATATTTGGTGCTAAAGTTTGCATTCGGTAAGTGTTGATGTAGTTTTGAGTGCAGTTCTTCACTTAGCAGGAGAAATGAGGAGTTTTGCACTTTGGGTGTGTGGTTTTGTGAATTGTGTTGAGTGTTCTGAGAAACTGAGCAATTAAAAAAAAATGTGTGTTAGCAATCGAGAAAAACTGTAGTTGATGGTTCCTGAACATACCGTCACCCAGTTTGCAGTACTCATTGATGCTCCACTGAGCTCGACTGACGTTGAGCTCATTCCAGTTTGTCTCCATTTCTTGTATTTGCTTTGTCAAGCCATCCTTCTGTGATGTCAGCTTCAGGATTTCTGCAGTCTGCTTGGCGTTGTCTTCAGAAAGTTCAGAGGTCACAACAGAGACAGACAGAGGGAGGTGTTGGGCTGTGAAACTTCTGTTTAAATGTTCTTAATAGACATTGAAGAATGGGTTCACATGTTTGAATCTATCTTGAATCAATAGTCAAGTGCTCATATGAACACGTGAACAACTGCCTTGTTTAGTGCAAAATTATATTGTAAACTTTACCTGAAGATTATGGGAAGTTCTGCAGTCAACAGTGCGTTTGTTATCTCATACTTGAAATATCAAACACTGAAATACATCTTTGCACAGAGCCAGTTTGAACATAAGGAAGGATAAGTCACAGAGCTTACTGATTACAGTTTTTCTCGATTGCTAACACACTAAAATTATACATAAAGGACAATCATTTTAACTGACACTCAAAGATCAAAACATCGGCTCAAATCTCCAAAACACGTTTTCAGCTTTTCACACAATTTGCAAATCAACATGGCACTTTCTGCAAACCACTGCACACGTTTCTCCACGTGAGACACAGGAATCTGACATGAAGTCACGTGTTGGCAGGTTTAAAACACTGATATTCAAAATGCCTCACACATGGACCAATAATCAAGAAACACGTTCCACCTGACCAAACACCTGGTAGCATTAATGGTTGGCTCATCAATCAGGATGTTAGCACTATCAAAAGACCACAGGTGAGAACTTTCTTACAGACAACATGGAAGCCAACATGGAAGCAAGAGGAAGAGGTGGGTGAGAGTGAGAGGAGGAGGAAGAGGTGGCTGAGAGTGAGAGGAGGAGGAAGAGGTGGCTGAGAGTGAGAGGAAGAGGTGGGGTGAGAGTGAGAGGAGGAAGAATGAGAGGTAGAGGTAGAGCTGGAAGGAGAGGACGTGGACAAAGAAGAATACTCTAATGAAATGAAATCACATGGTTTGACGATGAGAGAGGCTGGACAGAGGGTTCAGCCTAATCTCAGCCGATGTACTGTTGCCTCTGTAATCTGGACACTTAGACTTGAAAACAGGTTAGTTACCAGTTTGTAGCTCTGCATAGTTCATGATATATCAGCGCTTATATCTGTTGTGTGAAACGTATTTACTTCATTACTGTAATTGAATTGTTAATAAAGCATTTAAATACCGCATTTAAAATCTGATGAACTCAGTGTGCATCTGGACCCGGTGACGACATTACCTATTGACGCAGCAACCACTGTAAGTTATATTCTTGTTTAATTAGACTTCTCTGTTTCATTTATTCGACTCTGTATAAATTGTTATTGTAGCGTAAACGGCTAAATCGCGTTTGAGAGATTTTAAATCTCAAATCTGCTCAGGCGAAACCTGCTTTACAGGTCTCAGCACTCAAGCCTGCATTAATATAGGCACGGCCAGTCTATTGTCGCCCATCAGCTGTAGATAGTTAACTAATTAGAGGGCCGTGGCCCTACAGCTGTGAGAACTGAGCAATCAGGCGTCCATTTCGGGTAGCTCTTTCCTGGAGCGTCAGCTTCAGCGTCAGACAGCCGAAGACTGACAAAGACATTGGAGTCCTGCGGGAGTAAGACTGACAAAGACATTGGAGTCCTGCGGGACTCACGAGGGAGGCAAAGAGGAGGCAAATCCTACTCTGATTGAGCTGGTGTCTTATTTCTCTTTTCTTTAGTTTTTCTAGCCCCGCATGCTATAATCATGTGTATTTTTCTCCATTCCTGTTCATGTGTCCTTCTCGCAATTATCACTGGCCCGTGTATCTCCTAATCGATATAACCGGCCTGCTCTCCGTCTATCCCACGTGCTCCACTGAGATCCCAACATCTAGTTTCTGGTGGCCTGTGGAATTGCCAGTCAGCTGTTCCTAAGGCTGACTTCATCTCTGGCTACGCATCCCTGCAGTCTCTGGATTTCCTTGCTCTCACTGAGACCTGGATTACTCCATCCAACACATCCACCCCAGCAGCTCTCCTCCCACTGCATATTCCTTCTCCCATACCAACCCAGACCCACTGGCAGAGGAGGTGGCACTGGTCTCCTGCTCTCTCCCAAATGGAGCTTTTTTCCCTCTTTCAAGCTACCTAACTTCACTCCTTCCACCTTTGAATTCCATGCCGTCACAGTAACCCATCCTATACAGTTAACCATTGTTGTTCTCTACCGTCCACCAGGCGCTCTTGGGGGACTTCTTGGAGGAATTAGATAATCTCCTCTCACTCATCCCTGAAACTGGCCCTCCCGCTGTACTTCTCGGAGACCTTCAACCTCCAGACGGGGAAGATAGACGAACTAACATCTCTGTTAACCGCCTTTGCTTTCTCACTGTCTCCGTCCCCACCGACTCATAAAGCTGGCAATGTCCTTGATCTCATATTCTCAAGGAACTGCGCTACTTCTAACCTCTCTGTAAACCCGCTCCACACATCCGATCACTTCTTCATTAATTCTCTCTATCCCTTTCCAAACATAACAAACTAATCTCTTCTCATCCTGCACTTGTCCGCCGTAACCTTCGCTCCCTCTCCCCCTCTAGCTTTGCCTCGTCGGTGCTCTCAGCCCTCCCTTCCTCTGATTCGTTCCAATCTCCTGCCTCCAAACTCTGCTGCAGAAAACTCTCCTCTCTACTCTCTCATCCACTCTGGACTCGCTCTGTCCTCTCACATCTCGGCAGGCTCGTCAGTCCCCTCCTGCTCCCTGCTAAATGATGCACTGCGTGCTAATAGAACCGTCCTTAGGGCAGCAGAGCGGAAATGGTGGAAAATCCAAACACCGTGACGACCTCCTAACCTATCCAGGCTCTCCTCTCCTCTTTCTCTGCTTCGATCTCTCAGGCAAAAAGCACTTTCTTCAAGATAAGATCCATCTTCCTATTCCAATCCTAAAAAACTATTTTCCATCTTCTCCACCCTGTTGGACCCTCCAAAAGCTCCTCCCCCCTCCTCACTTCTGTCAAGCGACTTTGTTACCCACTTTGAAAAAAAGGTTGATGATATCGCTCTTCTTTTTCTGACTCACCGCTGGGTCACCAGACCCTCCTTCCACCAACACACTTACCTCCTTTTCCCCTCTCTCTCCAAGTGAGGTCTTACCCTCATTACCTCTGCCCGCCCTACCACCTGTCCTCTGGACCCTATCCCTTCAAACCTCCTTCAGACTATCGCTCCTGATAATTCTACCGTTTCTTCACCCATTTCATCAACACTTCTCTAACTTCTGGTCACTTTCCAAACAGTCTCAAGGAAGGCAAGAGTAAACCCTCTCCTAAAGAAACCCACTCTCAACCCGTCTGATGTTATAAACTACAGCCTGTCTCTCTCCTCCCCGTTCCTGTCTAAATCACTTGAAACGCGCTGTCTTTAAACAACTCTCCTGTTATCTCAATCAGAACAACCTTCTGGATCCGCCACAGTCTGGTTTCAAGGCAGGTTCACTCCACAGAAACTGCTCTCATTGCTGTCACGGAGGAACTGCACACTGCCAAAACTGCATCCCTCTCCTCTGTCATCATCCTATTGGACCTGTCTGCTGCATTCGACACGGTGAATCATCAGATTCCTCCTTCGCACTCTCCAAAAACTTGGAGTTTCAGGCTCTGCACTTTCCCTCCTCACCTCATACCTGAAAGACCGTACCTACAGGGTGACTTGGAGAGGGTCTGAGTCCAACCCTTGTCAATTAACTACGGGGGTCCCCTCAGGGCTCTGTTCTTGGTCCCCTCCTCTTCTCCCTGTACACAAACTCGCTCGGATCAGTCATTAGCCCGCATGGTTTTCTTACCACTGCTACGCTGATGACACCCAATTAATTCTGTCCTTTCCCCGCTCAGAGACCCAGGTCGTTGCACGCATCTCTGCTTGTCTAGCTGACATCTCTCAGTGGATGTCTGACTCACCACCTCAAGCTCAACCTTGACAAGACTGAGCTGCTCTTCCTCCCGGGAAAAGATTGTCCCACTCTTGACCTAACAATCAAAATCGGCACCTCAGTTGTTTCCTCCTCCCCGACTCAGACTGCAAGGAATCTGGGTGTGACCCTAGATAACAATCTGTCCTTCACTGCAAACATCGCTGCTCTAACAACCCGTTGCTGCAGATACACGCTTTACAACATCAGGAAGATACGTCCCTAGCTGACTCAGAAAGCGACTCAGGTTCTGGTCCAGGCTCTCGTCATCTCACGCCTAGACTACTGCAAACTCCCCTCCTGGCTGGTCTACCTGCATGTGCCAATCCGACCTCTGCAGCTCATCCAGAATGCAGCGGCTCGTCTGGTCTTCAACCTTCCTAAATTCTCCCCACACCACTCCGCTCCTCCGCTCCATCCACTGGCTTCCGTAACTGCTAGAATCCACTTCAAGACACTGGTACTGCTTACCATGCTGCGAATGGATCTGGCCCTTCCTACATCCAGGACATGGTTAAAACCGTACACCCCAGCGCGTGCACCTACGCTCTGCATCAGCCAACGACTCGTTGCGCCCTTCGCTGCGAGGGGGACCCAAGTTCCCATCAGCAAAAACACGTGGGTTTGCTATCCTGGCTCCAAGATGGTGGAATGAGCTCCCCATTGACATCAGGACGGCAGATAGCTTGCAACATCTTCCGGCGCAAACTGAAAACTCATCTCTTTCGACTCCACTTCGAGCGTTAGAACTATTAACGAAGCACTTTTATACTAATAAGGACTGGCTTACCTAAAGCCAGTTGAGTAGCACTTGAAATGTTTGCTCTATGAAACCTGATGTACTTATATGATTCTGTTTTCTTCAAGGTTGTGTCTTCCTGGTCGAATGTACTTATTGTAAGTCGCTTTGGATAAAAGCGTCAGCTAAATGCAATGTAATGTAATGTAATGTAAAATGTAATGTTGGCATGTTGCATAACTGTACAAAACATCCTGCACAATGTACTGTGGTAAACTCACTTTGATGCAACACAGACACTGACCGACCACTATGTCTTTGTTGTTTATCTGAAGGACTGAGAAACAAAGAGGTGGAAGGCTAAGGATGTTCAATGAGGCACAGGAAGCAGCAGTTACAAACTTGGTTTTGGCAAACAATGCATCACACTAGAGAGATCCGAAGCATAGTAGCTATGTGCTGAGATTGTCACGGTGTGTGAAGCAGGTAGGCACCCAAATGCAGATTAAGTGAGAATTCCTTTATTTCAAGGCTAGGTGAACAACAAAGACAAAACAGAACACTCACCGACAAACTAGTCATGACAAAAGACGAACCGACAAAGACAGACAGAAAAACCAGAACTTAAATACACACAAGACTAATCACACAAACAAGACACAGGTGAGGAGGGAGGAGAACACACAGGGGCCACAGGTGAACACAATCGGGTAATCAGACACACAGGGAAACTAACGACAGGGAACCAAGACAAATCCAAACAAGACAAACGCAGACAGAAACAGGCAAGACAGGAGGTGAAGACCTTCAAAAATAAAACTGAAACAAGACAAGACAAACACACCATAAAGACAGATCGTGACAGTACCCCCCCCTCAAGGGACGGATCCCAGACGTCCCAAAAAACACAAAAGTCCTCAAGCAGGGTGGGTGGAGGGGGTCCGGAGGAGGGACGTATCACTAGGGCCACCAGGGTGGGGGGGGGGGGTCAGGAGGACGGGACTGAGCTGACCGCCCAGGAGCACAGCAGAGGACCAGGAAGGGATCTCGGGCGGACGGCCCGGGGGCAAGGCAGAGTTCAAGGAGGGGTTCTCGGGCGGACGGCCCGGGGGAAGGCAGAGTCCAAGGTGGGGGTAGTTATGGAGGGGCGAAGGCCATCGCGGGCGAACTCAGGGGGCCGAGCATGAGGGCGAGGACCGCGGCCTGGAAAGTCAGGGGGCCGGGCTCGAGGGCGAAGGCCGTGGCTCTCAGGGGGCCGGGATCGAGGGTGAAGACCAGACAGCTCCGGAGGCCGGGCAGGAACCGGTGTCGGAGCTGGTGGGACAGGCCTCGGCAGGATCCCCCACGGAAAAGGACCAGGACACGGGATTGGCAGGACCCCCGGCAGGAGAGCAGTCGGCGGGACCTCCAACGGGACAGGACATAGGGTTGGCAGGACCCCCGGCAGGAGAGTAGTCGGCGGGACCTCCAACGAGACAGGACAAAGGGTTGGCAGGACCCCCGGCAGGAGAGTGGACGGTGGGACCTCCAACGGGACAGGACAAAGGGTTGGCAGGACCCCCGGCAGGAGAGTAGACGGCGGGACCTCCAACGGGACAGGACAAAGGGTTGGCAGGACCCCCGGCAGGAGAGTAGCCGGCGGGGCATCCAACGGGACAGGACAAAGGGTTGGCAGGACCCCCGGCAGGAGAGTAGTCGGCGGGGCATCCAACGGGACAGGACAAAGGGTTGGCAGGACCCCCGGCAGGAGAGTAGTCGGCGGGGCCTCCAACGGCACAGGACAAAGGGTTGGCAGGACCCCCGGCAGGAGAGTAGTCGGCGGGACCTCCAACGGGACTGACATACGATTGGTAGGACCCCCGGCAGAGGAGTAGTCGACGGGGCCTCCAACGGGACAGGACATGGAGTTGGCAGGACCCCCAGCGGAACCTCCAACGGAACAGGACATTGGGTAGGGACTTGAGACGTGACTCGAGAGGGGACTCGAGAGGAGACTCGAGAGGGGAACCAAGGGGGGACTCGAGAGGGGAACTAGAGAGGGGAATCGAGAGGGGACTAGAGGAGGGACTAGAGGAGGGACTAATAGAAGGGAACTCGAGAGGGGACTCGCGAGGGGAACTAGAGGAGGGACTAGAGAGGGGGACTAAAGGAGGGACTAGAGGAGGGAACTCGAGAGCGAACTCGAGAGGGAACTCGAGAGGGAACTTGAGAGGTGGACTAGAGAGGGGACTCGAGAAGGGACTCAAAAGGGGACCTGAGAGGGAAACTGGAGAGGGGACTCGAGAGGGGACTCGAGAGGGGGTCTCGAGAGGGAACTGGAGAGGGGACTGGAGAGGGGACTCGAGAGGAAACTTGTGTCGGTCGGTAACGTCGTCTGGGGAGCCAGCAGGAGACGAGGTGCTGGAGTCGGCCGGTACGCCGACAAGACTCGGGAGCTGGCGTCGGCTGGAGAGCCAACAGGAGACGAGGTGCTGGAGTCGGCCGGTACGCCGACAAGACTCGGGGAGCTGGCGTCGGCTGGGGAGCCAGCAGGAGACGAGGTGCTGGAGTCGGGACCATGACTGTATGGGCCAGCTCTGGTGCAGGGACCACGGTTGTAAGATCCAGTTCTGGAGCCGGAAACATGGCTGTAAGGTCCGGAGCTGAAGCCTGGATCATGGCTGTGTGGGCCGGTTTTGGAGCCGGAAACATGGCTGCTGGGGCCGGCACTGGAGCCGGAACCATGGCTGCTGGGCAAGGAATTGGAACACGGATCCATGGCTGTGTGGGGTGGTACTGGAGCACGGTACCATGGCTATGTGGGATGGTACTGGAGCACGGAACCATGGCCGCTGGGTCCGGCACTGGAGCCGGAACCGGCGCTGGAACCCTGGCCTTTCGTCTTTTGGAGGCTTCGTGGACCTCCAACGCCAGACCAGACCCCAGGAAAGGGTCAGAACATGAAGCCTGGTACTCAGGGCTACGTGAGAAAAACCCTAAGCCACTCGGGCAACAAGCTCCAGATCCAGGGGCTTGCAAGCAACCTCCTGACGTGCCTCCTTCAACGCAGCCTCTCTACCCCGTCTAGATGAGGCGCCTTTCCATGTAATAAAAAATGTACTCCAGAGAGTATCTAAGACTTTCCGCCTGTCGCATCAAAAGGGCTGAGTCTGCTGGGTCCATAATGTGGTCGGTTCGTACTGTCACGGTGTGTGAAGCAGGTAGGACCCAAATGCAAATTAAAGTGAGAATTCCTTTATTTCAAGGCTTAGGTGATAACAAAGACAAACAGAACACTCACCGACGAACTATTCATGACAAAAGACGAACCGACAAGACACAACAGAAAAAACAGAACTTAAATACACACAAGACTAATCACACAAACAAGACACAGGTGAGGAGGGAGGAGAAAACCCAGAGACACCAGGTGAACACAATCGGGTAATCAGACACACCAGGGAAACTAACGACAGGGAACCACAGACAAATCTAAACAAGACACAACCTAGACAGAAACAGGCAAGACAGGAGGTGAAGACCTTTCAAAATAAAACATGAAACAAGACAAGACAAAACACCATAAAGACAGATCGTGACAGAGATGCATGTTGCACAATGTTATATTTGAATAAAATGTGATTTTTTTTCAACAACTCATTTGTATTTCTTCATTTACTGTATTTCTGTAAACTCAAGCAATCTTTCTCTGCAGAACCCTCTCTGTACAGAGCACAGCCCAGAACAGATGAGTGCTTTAGAGTATGCTCAGCAGTGTGTAGCTGGTGGTCAAACAGTCTAGTGTTATGAATGAAGTGTGTTTTATATGGTGCTAAAATTTGCATTCGGTAAGTGTTGATGTAGTTTTGAGTGCAGTTCTTCACTTAGCAGGAGAAATGAGGAGTTTTGCACTTTGGGTGTGTGGTTTTGTGAATTGTGTTTAGTGTTCTGAGAAACAATGTGTGTTAGCAATCGAGAAACTACATAAAAACTTACCAAATGCAAACTTTTGCACCAAATATAACACACTTCATTCATAACATGATGGTTTGACCACCCAGCTACACACTGCTGAGCATACTCTAAAGCACTTTCATCTGTTCTGGGCTGTGCTCTGTACAGAGAGGGTTCTGCAGAGAAAGTTGCTTGAGTTTACAGAAATACAGTAAATGAAGAAATACAAATGAGTTGTTGAAAAAAATCACATTTTATTCAAAGATAACATTGTGCAACATCTCAGCACATAGCTACTCTGCTTCGGATCTCTCTAAGTGGGATGCATTGTTTGCCAAAACCCAGTTTGTAACTGCTGCTTCCTGCCTCATTAGAAATCCTTAGCCTTCCACCTCTTTGTTTCTCAGTCCTTCAGATAAACAACAAAGATATAGTGGTCGGTCAGTGTCTGTGTTGCATCAAAGTGAGTTTACCACAGTACATTGTGCAGGATGTTTGTACAGTTATGCAACATGCCAACAATTAAATTACAGTAATGAAGTAAATACGTTTCACACAACAGATATAAGCGCTGATATATCATGAGAGTATTCTTCTTTGTCCACGTCCTCTCCCTCCAGCTCTACCTCTACCTCTCATTCTTCCTCCTCTCACTCTCAGCCCAGCTCTTCCTCTTCCTCTTCCTCTTGCTCTTGCTTCCATGTTGGCTTCCATTGTTGCTGTAAGAGAGTACTCACCTGTGGTCTTTTCATATGCTAACATCCTGATTGACGAGCCAACCATTATGCTACCAGGTGTTTGGTCAGGTGGAACGTGTTTCTTGATCATTGGTCCATGTGTGAGGCCTTTTGAATATCAGTGTTTTAAACCTGCTAACACGTGACTTCATGTCAGATTCCTGTGTCTTACTTGGAGAAACGTTTGCAGTGGTTTGCAAAAAGTGCCATGTTGATTTGCAAATTGTGTGAAAAGCTGAAAACGTGTTAGAGTTTGGAGATTTGAGCCGATGTTTTGATCTTTGAGTGTCAGTTAAAATGATTGTGCTTTATGTATAATTTTAGTGTGTTAGCAATCGAGAAAAACTGTAATAAACTGTTGAACTGACATTCATCGAGAAGATACTCACAGTAGATACGAAGACCCATGATGGCTAACAGTATGATCCAACACACTGCTATCGGAAGAACAAACCTCAAGCCTGAAAAACAAGCATTCAGTTAAAAAACCTTAACAAAGGTTTTAAAGTCATATACACAGATACAGTTTATTCTAAAAACTGTGGTCGCTGGTTGGTTAAAACATGCGATATATAAACATATAAAATACTTAAAACACTAGTGCAAGCTCAGGAGTTTAGTCTCATGGCCTAAATAATTGAAGAGGCTAAGCTAATGCTTTCAATACATTATAAACACACCACAAAAATAGCTAAACCATTGTAACCATAGTCACTATCTCACTGTTTTACCTTTATGTTTCTTTTAAACGTGTTAACAGTATTAAATAGTGAAATGTTGATCATGCACCTGGAGGGGATGCCTTTGTATCCACGGTGCCTTCTGGTGCAGATCCTTTTTTGGTGTCGTCTGAAAAATAAAGATATAATGTGTTTTTATGAAGTTTATCAGAATCAGAAACAGGTCATTACCAGGTAGGTGAACACATAGGGGGAATTTGACCTGGTGTTCTGGTACATACATTAAAATTAAAATAAAACACAGATAGAAAACTATTTTAAGACAACTATAATAACATACTTTTTCAATACTAAAATACATATATTTTATACGTAAAACTGCTATAGCAGTATTTAAATTGAATATGGTTGAAATCGCAGAAATAGAATTGTAATAAATTATGTGCAGTAATGAAAAACAAGACATTATTATTATTATTAAGTATACATTGTGTGCATTGATGTTTTGACGTTTTTAAAAGTGCGCTTAAGACCTTCCTTTTGATAAAGCTTATAGTTAGGGCTGATTAGATTCAGTCCCTAGTTTTGCTGATATAGGCTTAGTTTGTCGGGGGACATCTTACTTCTTCCTTCTCTCTGTCTATACCTGTGTACTCTCATGTTCCGATTAACCCGGCTTCCCCCAAATGTCTTTCTTTTTGGTGTCTATATACGCCGGGATCCGGAGACATGGATGATCCTGCGCTCCTCTGTCCTGGATCGCGAGCCCTGGATCTTGAGTCGTGGCTGTGGTCCTGGATCATAGGTCCTGGATGGATATCCTCGTGGATTCATCTTCCTATTATACACACATGCATGTCCAAACATTTGGACTACCTATGTTGCAAATGTATTATCTTTTCAATTACACACGGCATCTATTGCACGTCTGTCCGTCCTGGGAGAGGGATCCCTCCTCTGTTGCTCTCCCTGAGGTTTCTCCCATTTTTCCCTTTAAACTGTGGGTTTTCTCCGGAAGTTTTTTCCTTGTACGATGTGAGGGTCTAAGGACAGAGGGTCTAAGGACAGAGGGTGTCGTATTGTCATACTGATATTCTGTACAAACTGTGAAGTCCACTGAGACAAATGTAACATTTGTGATATTGGGCTATATAAATAAACATTGATTGATTGATTGATTGATGTGAATTTAACTCCCAATATGATCAAACTTCAAAAACCATTGGACAAAAGATGGATTGTATAATGGCTATCAGCACACACACTGCTATTGGTGGAAAATGCATTGAATAAAAGCGGCCTCTGGACTGAGTAACGTAACTGAACATGAATTAACAGTTAATATAAAATAAAAAGAGCTGATTTAATATTCACATGTTTAACCTTCATCACTATTTTATTTAAATAATATGACTGTTGAATAAATCTCATGTTTGCTTGTTTGCAGCTCACCTGGACGCGTTGCCTTTTTATCCGCAGGGCCTTCTGGTGCATTCACATAGTCAGCTTCTCCTGTGATTTCCTCTGGAAGATAAACACATACTGTTTCATCAGATATGCAGCTTCCCTCCCACTATGTTCAGCACGCATGAGGAACCATTTCACTAAATGAGGGAGTTTATAATTAAACTCAACGATGTAAAATCAGTTGCAGCCATGAAAAGAACAGAGCAGAAAAGCAGAACTAAAAACACACAGAGAAGTGTATCGTGGTGACTTTTTAAAAAAAGAGTAAAGACGAAAGGGAAAAACTAAAATCTGCCTCAAATCACAAACATATATCTTTCTATTGAAACTAAAATCCATTCGACAAAATCAAATCTGATTTATTTTAAATAAACAAATTGGTTTTTTTTCTTCATAGAAGGTGTTGATACATCGACAGTTTCTTACTGAATTTCGCCAGAGAGAAATAAATGCATTGAATTTATAATTCTGTGTTTATCAGAGTTTGAAAATCACAATATTAAAGATCAAATTTGAAATAAATGTTATTTTAAACACTTTGTTGCTCAGATCTGATCAAGCATCAGAAACACTATGAATAGGAAAGAATGTAGACAATGTCTCGGTAAAAGAAAAAAGCAATGTTTTACACTCACACACATACAAATTAGAATATATTTAATTACCCATTTCCTGCTGAGTTCTTGAAGAGTTTGAAGTCCTGCTGCAGACCTGAGGCTGTTAGAGAGCGTGTGCTCTGATGTGACGCTCTTTAGTCGACTTCTGCTCTGAGGTTATGGTATCATTGTATTCAAATACTTCAGTATCAGACACGTTGCAACCTATCAAATAGTTTTGACCTTATTTGGCTTGATTAAAACTTACTGACAACGTGAACGAGAGATATGAAAGAAAACGACTAGGACAAAAGAGTTGTATGGAGAGATAAAGGAGGGGACCCAGGATGGAGCCCTGTGGGACCCCAGTGATGAGTGGTTGTCACCCAAATACTGATAAAACTGGTTTAGGAACGTCCTGTTTAAGCATGCACCCAAAGTAACTTAATCCAACAATCTGACAAACAAGAAACTCTTTTATTTTGATACACATAATTGGGTCCTTCGATAAGTCACGATGTAATCAGTAACATGATTGAGGTGTGTGTGTCATATGTAATATCTACATCGTGTTGTGTTCGAAAGCTGTTACCATTCATGGTGTTCGTGGGTACATTTTGAACCATCATTTATCTCAGTCCAAAACACTCAAATAATGACTATCATCCAATATTGTTTTTACTACATCATAACTAACTTATTATGCATTCATAACCGTACAATCCTGTTGTAATTGTATTTGATGGCCGCAAAACACATTGCACCACATATTTAAGAAATAAATGGAATTCAATTCACTCATTATATTCCCTATAGTGAAGAAGGACAATTATGTTATCTGATAGACTAATATTAGAATATAATTTTTTTTAAATAAGCTTTTAGAACTTTATATTATTAACTATAGTAACTTCTGTGGTGTTACGGGTCAAAATCAACCCATATAGATTGATGATAGAAAAAGTAAAAAAAAACAAGCTTCTGTTGGACAATGTTGTTCATGCCACGCCCCCCAACACGATGGTGTGTGTTTGTGTGTGTGTATCTGTGTACGTACTTGTGTGCGTGTTCAGGTTCAAGTGTTAGTGTACATATTCTTTGAGAAAGGTGGAGTTCCCGTGGGGGGAGGGGGGCCCAAAGGGATGGGAGACCAGGTGTAAGTTGCGAAAAAATATATTTACAGTGGATGAAGGGGGTGGGGCTGGGCTTTATCTAAAGTCAAAGATGAATCTTGATTGGGCCAAATTTGACCCCGAGTCACCCACAACAATGCTGCTGGGTCTTCCCGAACCAAACACCAAATTACATACTTTTTTTTACAGAGAACTTCAGACTTGGCTAAAATGACCAAAATCAGTTTGGTAGTGTTCATATAGCTGTTGTGGAGGATATCATGAAGCCTTGTTCCGATAAAAACTATAGGGTGGTTAGTATATCATTTTAACTTGAAAAGGGTCACAGGAGAGCTGAACACAACATAAGGGTTAGCGGAACTGAGCAGCATTGATGGACACTGATGCATCGATGAGTTTAAACACTATTATCTCATCATATCATCATACATAAATCTTACTTAGTGTTTGCACTTGTTTTGGCCAATCCACCTCCACTTCCTGTCCCTCTCTGGAACTCTGCTGGTGCTGATGTTGACAGAGTGACTGAATATTGAGGTCTGATCTCCTTCTATCTTATTCTCATCCAAATGGTCGCACCATGAATCAGATTGTTTCTCCAGACTTGATTAAAGCACTGATGTTTTCAAGAGAAACACAAAAACAACAATGTGTGGCAGCACATTTATTCACTGGTGACAACAGAGTGAAACAAGACATTGCTCATAGACACAAATACAGATAGATACAAATCATCCATAAACTGTGCGTCATCAGAATAGTATCAGGGACAGTTTCATCCCACTGGCCATCAGACTATTAAACACCTGAGCTTGCACTATTTCTATTTGTATTGTTGATTTGTATATGTATTTCTTATGTCTCGTTAATTGCACTTTTAAGAAACGTTTTGTAAATGTCATGATAATAAACCTTTGAATCTTGGAAAATATTGTTGAACCCCATCGACCAACGCTGTCATTTGAACGTCGATCAAGCCGAAGCCACAGAGCTCTTCTTTTACTGTCCTTTGTTCTTAGAGGAAGTACAGAAACACGTAACTCTGGATTTGTTTTAATGTTTGAGGTGCAATAAACGACACAGCAGCTTTTTGGCTGTTACAACTATTATTTTCTGCCTCGCTCATGAGAGTAACAGCTGGAGAAATTACAGCCTCGCCTACTGATTTTAATTTAACCATATATCGAACCTGATTCTCGATTTCAAATGTGTGCTCTAAAATGATATTTATAAATGACTATTATCATTATTATAAGCAAGACAATAAATGGCAAAGATATGTAGAAAATAAACGTATTTGAGATACGTTCATAACAAACGTAACGTGGGAGTATCATATACACGCAAAATGGGACTTCTGCGTATCTATTGCACGCATTTCCAATGTGTAAAGTCGTGTCATTTGTACGCAGACAGAAGAGAGTGGGTTGATATAAAAATGTACCAGTGACTGAGCCTCCGTACAGTTAGTGAAGGCAAACCAGCCCTTGCATACAGGGTACAGTGATGAGTAAATACTTTACAGTTTATCACAAATCTCAGCGCACTGTGAAACGCAGCATCTAACTTGACCAGGCAATGGGCAGGTGCATTCATATAGACCAAATCACCATAGTCCAGCACAGGTCAAAAGGTCACAGAGCCTTTTCCTGGCCTCAAGTGAGAAACAGGACTTGTTTCTGAAAAACAAACCTAGCCTAACCCTCAGCTTTTTAAGCAGGTTATTGACATGAAGTTTAAAAGTGAGACAATCATCAAGCCAGATACCAAGGTATTTGTAACAGGTAACCACTTCAAGTTTTATTCCTTGCGTAGTTACAATATCTAAAACAGGCTCCGGTGTTTTTTTAGCGTTTGAAAAGAGCATTGCCTTGGTTTTATCAACATTTAAAAGAAGCTTTAGTTCAGAGAGCTGCGTCTGAATAATATTAAAAACAGCTTGTAATTTAACACCAGCCTCCTGAGGGACCTGCACAGTACATCACGGTATCATCAGCATAAAAATGTAAAGTTGCTCCATCGACATTTTCACCTAAACTATTGATATAGATGGAGAATAATAGCGGACCTAAAACAGAACCTTGTGGAACACCACTAGTAATGTTTAACCACTCAGAAGACAGCCCATCAAAGTGAACACATTGGGACCTTTCAGAGAGGTAGTTCACAAACCTTTCAGAGAGGTAGTTCACAAACCTTTCAGAGAGGTAGTTCACAAACCTTTCAGAGAGGTAGTTCACAAACCTTTCAGAGAGGTAGTTCACAAACCTTTCAGAGAGGTAGTTCACAAACCTATCAGAGAGGTAGTTCACAAACCATTCAGAGAGGTAGTTCACAAACCTTTCAGAGAGGTAGTTCACAAACCTTTCAGAGAGGTAGTTCACAAACCATTCAGAGAGGTAGTTCACAAACCTTTCAGAGAGGTAGTTCACAAACCATTCAGAGAGGTAGTTCACAAACCATTCAGAGAGGTAGTTCACAAACCTTTCAGAGAGGTAGATTCACAACCATTCAGAGAGGTAGTTCACAAACCATTCAGAGAGGTAGTTCACAAACCTTTCAGAGAGGTAGTTTCACAAACCACCCCACTGCATGGCTGGATATGCCGATACTGAGTAGCCTCTACTTCAGGATATGATGATCGACAGTATAAAACGCTTTGGACAGGTCAACAAATAGAGCTGCACAACTCTGCTTATTATCTAAAATACTCGCCACATCATTCACCACTTTCTTTGTGGCAGTGATGGTGCTGTGTTGCTTTCTGAAACCCGACTGATGTTTAGACAGGATGTCATTTGTACGTAAAAACTCCTTTACCTGTTCACTCACTAGGTGTTCAAGAACCTTGGCCAGAACTGATAATTTAGAGATGGGCCTATAGTTATTTAATAAGGTGGCCTCCCCTCCTTTTAGTAAAGGCAAGACATAAGCTGACTTCCATACTTTTGGAATTGTATTTGTTTTAAGGTCCAAGCGAGGGGGGGTGTCTTTGTTTGTGTCACCAAATCTACTTTTTGATCCCCTTTAAGTCCTTTTGCTTTCTATGTGGTTGTTTTGTGTATGTTTTAGTACTTCCTCCTCTCTTTGCAGTAATTCAGCTTCTCTCTGATGTTTCTTTAGTCATTTGATCATGGACGTGGGAAGGGGGGGTGCTGAGGGGGCTGCAGCACCCCCATCTGTTGGCGGAGAGTTGTAACTGCAACGCCAAAAAGTTCACTAAACAAATCAATACAAAAGTTTTATTTTGAGTTACTATTTTTGAGTCAGCATTTTAGTGCAAGCAGTCTCTAAAAAGCTTCACTATAAGAGAAAGTGATAATGCAGTGAGCTTCTTCTGTTGCTCTGCTATAGAGAAGAAGCTCGTCAGTGCAAGATCAGGGATGGGAGTTTTGTGAAAGGAGGGTTTAAGAACTGGCGAAAGGCAGAGGAAACATTTAGGGAGCATGAGAAGTCCCATCAACACACGACCGTCAACAAACTGGCAGCATTAAAACGAACACCGATGAATGCGCTGCTCTCACAAGCTGTTGCTAAAGACCAAATGACTGCATTTAGTATGACGTTATTATACAGGACCCTCCCTCCACACAGACTGCGTGGGGCCTCATTTTGCGGAGGGAGCCTCATCTGAAGCGCAAACACCTACAGTGTAAGGCAAGCGCCACAGTTTCGCCGCTGCGAGGCACCCGCAGCCCGCACACCCAACTCTGACTGACTTCCCGCGTCCCTGCATTTGATGTTTCTTTTTGGTTGTTTGAAGTCATTTTGTGTTTTTTTGTTGTACTTTCTCCACTATTCTTAGGAATGTTGCATCTACTTTCATTCATTTTGCACCTATTTGTGATTGTTTTGTATCTTCTTTTCAACCTTCAATGTCATCGTTCTGTGTTTTCATTTATTTTGTGGTATTTTTTGTTGTTGTGGTATTTCTTATTACAGACACATGCATTTCCTAACATTCGGTTTATATGCTGTAAAATGTATTATCTCCTCGATTTACACACGGCATCTATTGCACGTCTGTCCGTCCTGGGAGAGGGATCCCTCCTCTGTTGCTCTCCCTGAGGTTTCTCCCATGTTCCCTTTAAACTGTGGGTTTTCTCTGGAAGTGTTTCCTTGTACGATGTGAGGGTCTAAGGACAGAGGGTCTGAGGACAGAGGGTCTAAGGACAGAGGGTCTGAGGACAGAGGGTCTGAGGACAGAGGGTCTAAGGACAGAGGGTCTAAGGACAGAGGGTCTAAGGGCAGAGGGTGTCGTTTTTCTCATACTGATATTCTGAACAATCTGTGCTGTTGTATTTGCTGTAAAGTGTCTCGACTGTAGGCTATTTTTATTATATGTCCAGCACTTTGGCTCGACCAAAAATCGTTTATAAATGTGCTATATAAATAAAACTTGATTTGATTTGCCCTCTCTTTGGTTGTTGTGCATCTCTTTCTAATCCTGTTGCATCTTTTTTAAGGCATTGATGATTCTTTGCTCGTTCAACAGATCTTTAAAGTGTGTGTTAATCTCATGTTGTGGTTGTTTACATGTCTTTAGATTGTTTTCGTCATGTTGTGTATATCTGTGGGCGGGAATCATCTTTTTGTGTCTTTAGTTACATCGTGTGAGATATTCCCCCGGACCCTTTTTGGCATCGCGGCCTCTTTGTGATTGTTGTTCATTCATTTAAGTCTTTGTGCATCTTTTTAAAGACGCCTTTCTTTCTATGTGGTCTTTAGAGTGTGTTCAGTCTGTTGGTCTCCTGGTGGTCATTGTGTGGTTGTCTTACATTTCTGTTTAGTCAATCCATGTCCTCTGTAGTCGTTGTGTGTATATCTGTGGGGTCTAAGCGTCTCTTTGTGATCTTTCTGTGTTCGGCTTGTAAATCCTTCCCTCTACTGACTTCTCCTCTTTCTGCACGCTTTGGTAATAATAATAATAATAATTCATTTATTTTATATAGGCGCCTTTCAAGGCACTCAAGGTCGCCGTACAACACATACAAAACAAGATACACAATACATAACACCAGCATAAGAGACATAAACAAGACAATGCAGTTTATCAATCAATCAAATAACCAAATAAATAAAAACAGAGGATGTGTGATGGATAATGATCAGGGTGGATATGCGAGTGTGAAGAGATATGTTTTGAGGCGTGATTTGAAAATGGGGAGAGAGTCAGTGTTGCGGATGTCAGGTGGGAGGGAGTTCCAGAGGCGGGGTGCAGAGCGGCTGAAGGCTCTAGACCCATGGTGGTTAAATGTGGTGGTCTGATGTGTTGTACGCTTCACTGGAAAGCTATCTAATCAATTACACTTATGGTGAGTCTGATAAACGCTGAAGTTCTTATCACAAAGAACTAATGTCACGGTGTCGATTTAACCTGCAGACTGCGGCCTTCCTCTGATCCCAACCCTCCTCTCCCTCCTCCTCTTCCTCTTCCTCTTCCTCTTCGCATGCTTATCCCTCACTTTAGCACACGTAATAAATACGCAGATAAACATCACCAAGGATGCAAAGGAACCCCATCGCAGCATCGTGTACCAGAGCGGCACTCCTGTGAACACTCTGCAAAAACAAAGACTGGGTGAATGACATTTCATGATGGTTTTGTAATAAATCATCGTGTTTTAGATGTGTTTTCTGACCTGAGAAGCAGGTGTGTCTCGGTGGCGATGATCAGCTGGTTTGTGGTGTCAGGTTGGATTTCCCCGGTGGTGTGACAGGAGGTCGGGGGGGTGGTTTGGGCCGTGGTGCTCACAGCACAGTCATAAACAGGTTGGCCTGGTGATTAAACAAATAAACAATGGCTTTCTTTCAGCACAGGAACTTGTGCAAGAGGATTTCACAACAGCATTACAGCCTCATCTGTGTTTCTTAAAATGAGTTGTATATTATGCACATTCAGTTCAGTTCGCATCCTCTTTAAGAAATCTGCACAGATCTCCACTTTACATTCCATTAAAGAACATATTTCAGTTTTCAATTGCTTTTAAAAACTAATATTATCAGCATTTTGTTATCTTTTATTGTATGTATTTGGTATATGTATACGTTGTCTAAATATTTGTAGTATCATTGTTGTAAAATAGTTTTAAAAAAAACGTAACACAAAAAGTAAGGCAATTTGTGTTTGGTAGATGATTTATATGTTGTAACAATGCTTTTTGGCATTACATCTTATACTGTTGGAAAGCCTGTTTTCTTATCTTTCCAATGGTACCACATTTGTGAGGAAAAAGCATTTGTAGGATGCAGTGGCGGCTGGTGGAAAATATCTTTGGTGGGGCTATGGAAATGGTGACCAAACCATACTAGGGCGGTCCAGGGGATCGGCCCCCGGAAGAAATGTTTGAGAAAATATGAGATAATCCATAATCTTCAGTGTGGTTAGCTATGAATGTTCCAAAACTGTGCGACAGTACAGTAGGCTCACACAAACTGCAGAACACTGGTGCTTTGGGAACACTCAAATGATGTAATTCTCATTTAGAATCAGAAGACTAAATACGAACGTGTGTGTGTGTGTGTGTGTGTGTGTGTGTGTGTGTGTGTGTGTGTGTTATTCTTGTCAACCCTCCCGATTTCTGACAAAATCAGATTTACTCACGACTGTTTCCACTCGGACTTCAATACAGCTACACCATTGTTTGGTTTCCATGGTAGCGCGTCTCTTTAGCAGCGCGCGCAACTCAAAGTCTGAGAGGGTGAGGAAGATGAAAACTGAACAAGAATCGACAACTCGACCCTCTGCTCACTCCTTTCCTGTAAAACACAGGTCCAGCCCACACACATGCTCCATGGTGCTACAGGCATTGCCCTCACAACTACAATAAGCATGTAAATGTTAATCAACAGCTCCGGCGATCCACTAGCACCGGAGTCTCCACCTGCAGACGCACGCAGCCATCCTCGACAACTACTGTAGCGTGGATACGATTCCAAACAACTCACAGACACACAGGCCAGGGCGCTGACAGGGCGCCCTTTGAGCATCAGATCTGACGACGCTGATTGGCTGAAATTATGTTTCGGCAGCATAGTATACAGATAGCAACAGTCAGCTTGTTGGCTGCTGCTGCTCTGGCTGAGGGCTCCTTTCTACCGCCCGGACGAGAGAGGGTAATGATGCACGCTGCGGCCAGGCAGGAAACATGTGACTGATCAGTAACTTTAGACATCGTAAAACAATTTTAAACGAGATTTTATTGTAGATTATACAATTTACTGATACCAACTATATAATATTTACCTTGTTCATTAAAAATAAAAAAATATATATTTTTGAAAAATATTTTTTAATTTTTTTTTTAATTTTGAATGACAATCAAACATGTGGGAAGAGGGGGGGCGGCACCCCTAGCGTCCCTATGGGCCGGCCGCCACTGGTGGGATGAGCAGCAGAGCTGAGTATGTGGGGTGCGCCTATGAAAAATGTGACAAATCTCCTCTGCCAATACCAAACAGCTTTTTTTTCTGTTGACTCTTGTTTGGTGGAGTGGATGATCGAAGTCTGATCAATAAAGACATATTGGCAACAATTGATTTATTAACAATTGATTCATTTCTACAAGCTACCTCAGTAGCGTGTGGAAGAACGGCAATGCCAAAAAGCATTGTTATAACATAGAAATCGTCTACACAAATTGCCTTTTTGTGTTAAGTTTAGTTAGAAAAATGTATTTAATGAATGTCTCTCACTGTGTTTATGTATGCAGCGCACACACCCAAATACATCCTGGTGTGTGTGCTTTTAAACACGGCCACTATGAGTCACTAAAGGCAAAGCCGAAGTGGTGCTATTAAAACAGTTATGTACCAAGATTTGAAGCATGTCTTATTACTCGCTGTGATTCATTTTAAAAAGGTGCGTTTATTATAAACACATCGTAGGAATAGCAGTTATTTCATTAGGTTTTATATTTGATATTTATATGAATCAGAGTCGTTACCTTGCAGGTGAACCACATATCTGCAGTGTGAGTCTGCAGGAGGGAAGATGTTCACTCTGAGGCTCTCACTCCTCTCTGAGCTCACTTCATTCCTGACGCTGCAGTAGAGCTCAGCGTCCTGCAGAGAGTCACAGGTGAGCTGCAGGTCAGCAGAGTTCTGCAGCAGGACGTCCTCGGGGTGTGTGTGTCGGAACCAGGAGTAACGGACCGCGGTGCCCCGTGAACACACACACCGCACCGTCACCGGACCCCCCCGACAGGTGGACCCCTCCATCAGGGAGACCAGGGGCTGGAGGCTGGGCTTAGAGACCGGGACTGAAACACAGAGGAGAGCAGGGTAACCTTTTTTTATTCCAATTCATCTTGTTTTAATTTGTATTCGGTTGGCTTTTTCATTACTGTTTTTAAATGTAGTTTTATAAGATGCTTCCTTTGCACGATATCTTATTTATTTGACACACTTTTAGCAACAAGGCAACACTTTGAGTTGCCTTGTTGCTAAAAGGTTCTAAATAAAAAGACTTGATGACATGAATTTATTTATTTTTGCATTAGAAAACTAGAGCCAATGGAGAGAAAACTGTCCATGTGGGGAAGCGACTCCTCTGTAAGGGGCCAACCTGTGGAGCACAACTTTTCTCCCCTTGGGAGGCAGCTGCACCCTGTAGACAACTCCCCCCCCCCACCCTCTCCAGTACTCTGTAGGGTTCAACCCACTGGCTTTCAAGTTTTGGGCACCGGCTCTTTTTTCGTTGGGAGCTGTAGACCAGCCAAACAACTCGCTGCACCCTCACTGCGAAGGGGACCCAAGTTCCCATCAGCAAAAACACGTGGGTTTGCTATCCTGGCTCCAAGATGGTGGAATGAGCTCCCCATTGACATCAGGACAGCAGATAGCTTGCACATCTTCCGGCGCAGACTGAAAACTCATCTCTTTCGACTCCACTTCGAGCGATAGAACTATTAACAAAGCACTTTTATACTAATAAAGGACTGGCTTATCTAAAGCCAGTTGAGTAGCACTTGAAATGTTTGGCTCTATGAAACCTGATGTACTTATATGATTCTGTTTTCTTCAAGGTTGTGTCTTCCTGGTCGAATGTACTTATTGTAAGTCGCTTTGGATAAAAGCGTCAGCTAAATGCAATGTAATGTAATGTAATGTAGACCCAGACCAGCTCCCCGGCCCTAAAGTCCTGCCCTTGTGTCCTTGTATCATACTTCTGTTTCTGTCTCACACCAGCTCTTTTCTGCTGATCTCAGTCAAAGGCGTGAGCTGAATCCAGGCGGTCCTGAAGTCCCCTGGCGTACTCAGGTCCTGGAGAAGTGTCAAGGGATCCGGCGGCTGACCAAACGCCAAAATGGCCGGGGTGTGAAGCTCTCTCCCCAACATGAGGAGAGCAGGAGAACAGGCCGAGGACTCCTGGACTGCAGAGCGACATGCCATGAGCACAAGGGGCAGATGCTCATCCCAGTCACGCTGGTGCTGAGACGTGAGGATGGCCAGCTGCTGGCCCATGGTGCGAGGAAATCTCTCGACTAGTCCGTCGCTCTGAGGCCGCAAGGGGGAGGTGCGAGTTTTGTGCATGCCCAGTTGTGTGCACATGGAGGTGAACACCAGGGACCCGAAGTTCCTCCCCTGGTCACTATGCAGAGTGTCCGGCACTCCAAACCGGCTGAACATGCCGGCCACCAAGGCATCTGCGACTGTCACTGCTTCCTGATCAGGGAGGGCATACGCCTCTGGCCATTTTGTGAAATAGTCCATGGCGGTGAGGACTTAGCGGTTACCTCCGTTTGACCGAGGTAGCGGCTCAACCACATCGACTGCTACTCTCTCCATCAGGACCCCCATGGGAAACTGTTGAAGCGGAGCATGGGAACGACCAGGGGGGCCCTTACCAGCCATACGTATACCCATTGCCTTTCAGAAGTGCCAGCTGTCCCGTGAATGTGCACAGTCGCACCGCAGTCGGTTCCAACTAAGTCCCACTGGGCAACACATCTGCTCTCACCAGGGTTACTGTCGAGCCTGTGTCCAGCAGTGCAGGGCACCACATCCACAGTGACAGGGACATAACAGGAATCTCCACCTCAAGCACAGGCTCCAAGCATGTGCTGTCATCTGCTTCAGGAGGGAGTAGAGCCTGGCTCTGGCTCCTTCCTCGGATGTCTGTATTATAGACATCAGGGCCGCTACAACATGTTTAATCATGTTTTGTGCCATTTGCCAAGACTTGATAAGTCGCTCGTAAAACACAGGAGGTATGGAAACTAATAACACCATATATTTGGTCAATTGTACAGCTGATATAACACAACACATTTGTTTTATTTCCTTTAACAAGGTGGATATAGTTGCTGCTACTTAAGATGCACACGCTGCACCCAGTTGATTGACAGCAGGTATACAAACCACGAAATAAATAAAAACGTTTTAAACAAAGCCCCAATTGTCTGTACATGTGCAAACCCAGCTTGATTGCACTTGGTTTACTATTATGTCAAAAAAGGGAAGGACGTTACGGTACATCGGAGTGATGCTGTGTGTCTGCTGACTGGCACACCGGGCACGGGGGTTTCATGATGATACCTGTTAGTTAAATATTTAACCCTCTCCACCTGCAGTGTGCATTCTCACCTTCAGTGACGACCACCCTCACTGACGTCATGATGTCAGCATAAGGCCTGTCGATCCCGACCCAGTAGTCCCCGCTGTCCCCCTTCTGCAGATCTAAGACCATCACAAACAGTCCTCTTCTCCGAGCATCCACGATGTGAACGCGGGTGCTTCTGGTCTTCCCCTCCGAGTCCACCAGCACCTCGCAGGTCCTCCTGGACTCTCCTTTGCACCAGTACTTGTTGCTGTATAGCTGGTTGTCATAGCTGCAGGAGAGCAGGAAGTCTGACCCGAGGGGAGCTGTGATCTGCTTCTTGTCACACTGCAGCTGCAGACTCGCTGAAACAGAAAGGAAAATGGAATCTGAGAAGAAGCTCTTTCATGTAATACCAACAGTGGGTCTGCTAATGCACATTCAGAGTGCATACGAGTTGGTTGCTTGTGAATATTCACGTGAGAAATAACATTTGTACCTGTAAATACTTTCCATGCATGTTCATGTCAACAAATATATAAAATCTTAATCTAAATACTTAATTCATGTTACATTACATTGCATTTAGCTGACGCTTTTATCCAAAGCGATTTACAATAAGTGCGTTCGACCAACAAAATACAAACTTGAAGAAAACAGAATCATATAAGTACATCAGGTTTCATAGAGCTAAAACATTTCAAGTGCTACTCAACTGGCTTTAGATAAGCCAGCCCTTTATATGTTGGGGGAGATTGGGTTTGGTGCTCCATTTAAGAATGAAATAAGTATCAACAGAAGATATTGAAGTTAAAATGTCCAATAAAATAATATAAAAAACAATTATACAAACATAAGAATACAAAAAAAGTTATGGAATAAAAAATACTTATATAAACCAATAAATAAAATGGCAAATCAAAGATAAAATCAGAAATATTTATATCAACATAACAGTTAATCAAAAATGTCCCATAAAGGATACAAAACAATATATTTAAAGAATCTTATCTTGTTATCGAACCAAAGATTTCCTGAACTAAATGTAAATCAACATTTCATCTGTTCATCGTTCTCCAAAAGGTTTAGAAATGAAATCTCTCTTTATATATTTCCTAAAGCAGAATACAGATCTTTAACCTGAGATTAAATGAAGCTCCTCACCGTGAAGCAGCAGCAGCACCAGGGTCTTCATGTCTTCATGTTTCTGAGGTGTGAACAGGAAGCTGCAGAGCTAGACCATATTGGACTGTGGTGCGCGGCTTCCTGCTGGTGCATTGTAGGTTAGAGAGATGCTGTTGCTTGCATGCGCTGTCCCGATCACAAACACAACATATAGGCCGCTGCAGAAATGGGTCAAGTTTAATTTGTGTGGTTAAAAAGCCCCATTGTTACATCGGTTTCAAAAGTGTCACGGTGGCATCTGAACATCGCCTTCTTCTTCTCTCTGAGGCTCCTCCCGGTCGCTCATGGCCGTGAACATTAGCTTGGTAAGATTTCTTGAAATAAGAAGAGATATTTAGATAAATCAGATCTTGTAATTATCTGGAGAACTCATTCTGAACTATATTTGACCAGAATCAGGAGATGATGTGTTTCAAAATAAGCCGCAAACGCTCAAAAGTGTTCTGTTTCCTGATGTTAGTTGGTGATTTTCTAATAAATATGTAACAAAATAAGTGATTCATCTGAGATACGACTCAAAATAAGATGATTTGACTGAACAGGATGAGGCATTGTCTAAAAACAAGAGCCTATATCTCACTGCAGTGTTACTTCTGAAGTTAATGTGTCTTATATCAGGTGGAGAGACATATTTTGACTAGATATCAGACACATATACTGGGCAAGATTTAGAGTTTTTGTAGTGTGCACTTCTATTAAGCGGCCTAAAGGCACTAAAACTAAAAGATAATAGTAGATTCAAGGTTCAATAGCAATGCTCGTGCAGGTAGTGTACGCATGAGTTTGAAGTTTGTTTGTCACCAAAAAAACTGAAAAACATCAAAGTTGACGGACAGTGTTTCCTTGTCCAAATGTTGACTGGGGCCCTTTCTCACTTCTCTTATTTTTCATTTCCTCGCTCCTCGGTCTCACCGGAAGTTGATTTGTCTGCGCCATCTTGAGTAGCGTCCCAATGGCCTTATTTTTGCCGGTGTAGGTACCAGATGTGTTCGGGGTACCAGATGTGTTCGGGTGTATTTCCGTCGCATCCGTCATATACTCACCTCCCTCTGCTCCCAGCGCTCTGCTGCCACACACCTGTACTGTACTGTACCCAATATACAAGCTGTTAATAAACTTTTCAATCAATCAATCAATCAACACCGGCCGTCTGCGGAACTGCAGCCGGAGGAACTCGGGACAGCTTGTTATGTGTATGTACGAAGATATGTCCCCAGCTGACACAGAAAGCGACTCAGGTTCTGGTCCAGGCTCTCGTCATCTCACGCCTAGACTACTGCAACTCCCTCCTGGCTGGTCTACCTGCATGTGCCATCCGACCTCTGCAGCTCATCCAGAATGCAGCGGCTCGTCTGGTCTTCAACCTTCCTAAATGTTCCCACACCACTCCGCTCCTCCGCTCCCTTCACTGGCTTCCGGTAACTGCTAGAATCCACTTCAAGACACTGGTACTTGCGTACCATGCTGCGAATGGATCTGGCCCTTCGTACATCCAGGACATGGTTAAACCGTACACCCCAGCGCGTGCACTACGCTCTGCATCAGCCAAACGACTCGCTGCGCCCTCGCTGCGAGGGGGACCCAAGTTCCCATCGGCGAAAACACGTGGGTTTGCTGTCCTGGCTCCAGGATGGTGGAATGAGCTCCCCATTGACATCAGGACAGCAGATAGCTTGCACATCTTCCGGCGCAGACTGAAAACTCATCTCTTTCGACTCCACTTCGAGCGTTAGAACTATTAACGAAGCACTTTTATACTAATAAAGGACTGGCTTACCTAAAGCCAGTTGAGTAGCACTTGAAATGTTTGGTTCTATGAAACCTGATGTACTTTATGATTCTGTTTTCTTCAAGGTTGTGTCTTCCTGGTCGAATGTACTTATTGTAAGTCGCTTTGGATAAAAGCGTCAGCTAAATGCAATGTAATGTAATGTAATGTGTGGGGTCCCATGTACTTGTGCACATAAATAATGTTTCTAATTATTTACTATTAAAAAATATATATTCTGCGTTACTTTAGCCAACACTTTTATAAGGCCACTAGATTAGATAATTACGAAATGTGTAGATAGAATACATATCTTTCAGGTTGTTATTTTTGTCATTATGTTTAATGTTTTATTTACCTTTTAGTATTTTTATATAGTATCTGAACTTTGGAGAGGAGTTGGGAGACACACGACACATCAAATCACATCGACAGATCAAGACGAAGCGAACGTATGGGCTCAGAACAGTCTCATAATACACACATGCGCACAGAAGGATTCACACTTGTATTTCATGATCCACAAAAGGATTCACACTTGTATTTCCGGATCCACACTTGTGTTTTTCAATACACACACAAATGTATTCCGTTTCATATACATGTAAATAAAATCCAAATACAGAAAAAAGTTTTACATATGTATTTTTGATCCTCACATATTTGTTTTCCGTTTAAAACCTCTGAACCTGCAAACAGCTTTCTGTACACGGAAATGGATATAACTTATGTTAGACAGCTATCATACTGAATACATATTTACTGTGAATGTGTACAAAAATGTATGGCATATGGCTGTCTAACAGAAGTTAAATCCATTTCTCTCTTATTCTGACAATGTACTTAACCCCAAATAAAAGAACCCAATAAAAATAATTGTTAAATAATAGTGAAGTCACGTTGTAATAACAAAAACTCATCTCTCTCTCTCTCTCTCTCTCTCTCTCTCTCTCTCTCTCTCTCTCTCGAGTTTTCCTTTTGAGCTTTGCCAAAAGCCACTGTGTCAATGTTGTCCTACTTGGGTTGCCGTCCGGAGTTGTCCAATATGGCGGACCATGTCGCACATGCGCACTGCAGATCGGGCAGAGCGGGTAGTGATACATCCATGCTCCAACCTAGCAACTGTACTACATTTAACACATGTAGGCCTATCGGTACCAGTAAAGGAGGAAGGGAGGTGACCAAACATAAGACAGAGAACAGGAAATAGCACCCGAGGGTGGGGAAGGAGCCATAGCTAGCTATCCAGCTAAAGTAGCTACCGTTAGCAAACCCGAATGGAGTGTAAGCAACTGTGGAGTTAAAGTCGCTAAGAGAAGGAGAGTTGTGAGTGCTTAAGCTGTAGTAACGTGTGATTACAACGCCAGGTAGCTGCCGTGATCAAGAATTTGTAAAACGATCGATTTAGTTTAAGATAATATAAGCTATCAGCAGCAGAGCAGACACAACAGGATAGCCCGGAGTTGACAACAACAACAACAACCGGAAGTGACAACACGCTTACCGCAATAGTAAGTGAGGGTCCAGTAGGTGGCGGTATGCACCTTTAAAGTTCTTTGCAATCCGCCAAAAACCGGAAGAAGAAGACGACGACGACGACGAAGAGGTGAGTGGATTAAACATCTGCAGAGGTTTCATTAAGTGTATTTACACCTGTTAGTAGTGATGGCGAGATGAAGCCTTATGAAGCTTTGAAGCTTTCCAGCCAATTGGTTTGCAAAAGGGTTCATCTCATGAGGCTTCATCAGGGGCGGACTGGCCATTGGGAGTACCGGGAGTTTCCCCGGTGGGCCGGAAAAAGAAAAAAAAAGTTTATAAAAAAAATTATTTTGCCTAAATCCTACCGGCCCACATTTGTAAGTGTTCCGGCCCAGTCCAGCCCAGTGGGGTGTGGCCAGGGTTGGGTTGTGTAACGGAATACATGTAACGGTGTTACGTAATCAGAATACAAAAATCAAGTAACTGTATTCAGCTCGCGTTACATTTGAAAAACGAGTAATCTGACTACAGTTACTTTCGTAAACCTGAAGTGAATACATTTTGGATTACTTATTGGAATTATTGGTGGAAAGATTTCCCTCACAAACATTTAATATTCATTACTAAAGGTACAGCCGAATCATCACAGCGCACAAAACCTATTACCGCCGCAGATGGACCAAAAAAGGGAGCGTTTGAAAAAAAAAATGTGCGGGTCCGTTCAGTGAAACAATAACAACTGTGTGTGTGTTGTGTGTGTGATGTTGTGTGTGATAGTGTGTGTGTGTGTGTGTGTGTGTGTGTGTGTGTGTGTGTGTGTGTGTGTGTGTGTGTGTGTGTGTGTGTGTGTGTGTGTGTGTGTGTGTGTGTGTGTGTGTGTGTGTGTGTGTGTGTGTGTGTGTGTGTGGTGTGTGTGTGTGTTGTGTGTGTGTGTGTGTGTGTGTGTGTGTGTGTGTGTGTGTGTGTGTGTGTGTTGTGTGTGTGTGTGTGTGTTGTGTGTGTGTGTGTGTGTGTGTGTGTGTGTGTGTGTGTGTGTGGTGTGTGGTGTGAAAACACATCAGCCACACCGCTCTTTAGCCTTTCTAATGATTCTGAAGGTAAACACAGGGAAGGCGGTGCGTGAAAGGCAGTGCGTGAAAGGCACTGCGCGCTCGTCTTCTCAGAGGCTGAGTTAACCCTCCCGCTGCCTCCTGGTGCTGCAGAGATTTCATGAAGTGAAGGAGGTTTTCCTTCTATAAACCAGCTGCGGGCAGCAGATACTGAGAGTCACAGACATGAATACATAGATCAAGGCAGACTGGTGCACACACTCTCCTGTTTTGCCAATCCGGTGCTTTAACAAATATAGCTCTACACCCCTGGCCGACATGTCCTTAAAATGAAGTCCGAGTTCGACATTTTAATTAATGTCCTGCCAACACTGGCAGGACAGAAGGCGACACGCCCTTTCTAAGCCATGTCCTCACATCCCAAGCTGCATCCCCAAAAAGTGTATTATGTTGTTACAACAGGGTTCAGGGGGAGTGGCTGTACGGCTGCACCCGTAGGATAGAAAAGGGGGAAGTGACGTCTGACTCAGAGGTCGCGCGGCTGTGGAGAAGAACGTGTTGCCCACATTCTGTTACTGAGTTTAGGCTAGTTAGCTAGCAGGTTTATTGTTTTGGGTGCAGTCACTTTTGCCTCCACTTGCTGTTCAAATAAATGTTGAAAGAAAAAGTTAATCTGTTTACAGTTCTGTTTTATATGGGTGTTGAAGAAGAAGAAGAAGAAGAAGAAGAAGAAGAAGAATTGGGAGGGATGAAACCCTCTTTAATGGTCACACATGCAGAGCACACAGCACACACAGTGAAATGTGTTCTCTGCTTTTAACCCATCCTAGCACCAGGAGTCTAGCACCAGGAGTCTAGCACCAGGAGTCTAGCACCAGGAGTCTAGCACCAGGAGTATAGCACCAGGAGTCTAGCACCAGGAGTATAGAACCAGGAGTATAGAACCAGGAGCAGTGGGCAGCTATTGTACAGCGCCCACGGACCAATGGGAGTGAGGGGGGAAGGGGGTTGTCCGGTGCCTTGCTCAAGGGCACCACGGCAGGGCAGGAGGTGAACTGGGACCTCTCCAAGTAGAAGTCCACACTCCAAATAGGTCTGGTCGGGGACTTGAACCGGCGACCCTACGGCTCACAGTCCAAGCCCCTACTGACTGCCATAGATTTAGTCCCTAATTTTGCTCTCAAAATGGACCAGATTGATGCATTTAACTTCAACATTTAAAGGTCCACCATCTGCCCACACCCCCTCTTAAATTGTCTCACCCACATTGAGGATGCTTCCTACGCCCATGTTTTATTCCATGTATCAAGTCAGGCAAATTGGGTCCAAATGTTATTGCATCAATGATCTGTTAACATTAAAATCACTAAATATATGCCGTAACTATTTTTGCTCTAGGCCAGTGGTTCACCAAAGGACAAGTAAAAATCTCAAGGCACACCTATTGTGCAAAATAGCCCTTATAACACGTGTTATCACTCATATCATGTAAAATATCTGTAAATGTGCATAATTATTTACTAATGCCAAATAAAATGTGACAAAGACAACTATATTACTCATGAAATATTTATTAACGAAATATTTCAGAAATTAATTTGAAACTTTATCAAATTAGGCTTCATCAAAGCAGCAACACACTCATTTAAACCAGACAGGTCACAACATTAAAAATGAGGCAAAGGAAACCCAGCAGAAATTCAGCACAGAGAACTGTCAATGCAAGGAAGCTGCATTGTCCATGGTCCTGAACTACAAATTATAAATGTAACATTTCAGCAATCAGCATTGAAACATGTGCTATTGTAAATATTTTTGCCGACTTACAAATCAGTGAGATACATGTGCCTGTCGGGGCGCGCAGAATTTTTTAATCCTTGGTGGCACTGAGGAGAGGGCCACTCGCAAGTCCTGTTCAACAGAGAGCCGTGACCTCCTGTTGTTCTTCATGTAAACCAGAGTAGAGAACGCCAATTCCAGAGATGGGGTCGTTACTAAAAAAATGTAATATATTACATATTACTTTAAAAAAAAGTAATATATTACACTAATTCGTTACTATTTACATAAAGTAACTCGTTACTTTACTCGAGCACGTACGAACTGCGCATGCGTGAGTGGCAATAACTTTCCTTACCAGCAGGCGGCGGTAGTGTGTATTTGTCATTCAAAACAGGCAACAACCGGAAGACAGAGAAGAAGAACAGACTACGTGATATAAACAAACAACAAATAGCGTGTGCGGTAGCTTCACCTTAGCATGTGTTCTTTGCAGGTGCTTGTTGAGGTTTGACCACGTGGTGTTTACAGCAGTGGATAACAGCTTCTGGCCTGGACACAGTTTGCACCTCACCGTCACATTCCTGTCTATTCTTCGGACGAACTCAAAATAATGGGCATACCTCCACCCCTCGAAAGTTATCGCTGACTCAGCCATGTGTATGCAGCACTGCACGTGAAGATGTGGACGCGCAAGTCGCACAGATTACGTACATATAAACCTACAAAGTACTGATATAGTCAATTAAAAATTAAATAATTATTTTTGTGTAGTTGTATATTGCAATAATAACGTATGGTTGTCACAAAATCCCACGGCACACCCGGACTTGCCTCACGGCACACCAGTGTGCCGCGGCACACCGTTTGGGAACCACTGCTCTAGGCAATCAAGGGCTCAAGTAATGTGATTACCATATGAATAATGGTCCAAAATAACATTAAATGCATAGGGTTTTTTGTTAAGTAACATACTTTCGTCGCCGGCCGGCCGATACATGCCGCGCATTAAGTGGGCCTGTCTGTCAATTAATCCCCGGGCCACTTTTCCGCCCCTGGGCTTCATCATGAGCTTCATTTGAACACAAACCCCCTGTTGGTCAAAGTGTGTAAAACAGGCAGATTGGACATCTCAACAGTGTGCTCTATCTCATACCGAGTTCCCAATGAGTAAAGCCTTAGAATAACTCTAAACAACAATAAATCATATTTTCATGTTAACAATATTGTTTTTATTCCAGTTTAATGATTGTGATTGAAAAGCCTAAGGAGGCTGGTAAACATTTCAAAGAGGGATTTGTATTCCTTAATAATATTCATAAACGTAACCATGTTGTAGCCTGAGAAAGGCTAAACCATATCAAAGAATACATTATTAACTACATTATCTCATTTAGCTGTAGCTTTTATAAACAACAAAAAATACGTATTGACAAGTCGTTGAACCAGAGACCCTGCGGTTGTGAGTCAACTGCTTTCCAGCTGAGCCACAGCACACATTCTAAAGCTCCCTGAAAACACTGCAACATATGTAGTCCTGTATTTATTGATGTTTTTATTTCTACATTTATTTATGCTTGTATCTATTTATACTTATGACATGTTCCGACCTCTATAAGTGAGGGTCTGAGCTCTCTTGATTCCATCGTGTCACCGTGCCCGGGTACAGGAGGGGTAATATGGTTCTTATTATACATCCATGGGTATTATGAGCGTTGTGGTTCAACCGGGTTCAACCGATCTGAATCGCTTCCTGAAGCAGTCACGTGGTATCGACAGGCAGCGAGGCTTCGTTTGTCATCGATGACGTCACTGGCCCAAAACGATACAAGCCTCGATACATGCTTCACAAAAAGCTTCGGGGATTACTCGACACACGCTCCGAAGCCTCGGCGCAATACGTAACATCACTACATGTTAGCTTAGCTTACAGTTAATCACGAATCAGAAGTTATCTTATTTAACACAACAGCTGCAATCTTTGAAGAAAGAAACTCACAAAAAAACTTTAAAATGTGCGCCAAAAATAGTCTCAAATTATCTTTTAAATAAAGGCTAAAAGCCATCGGCTAACAGCTACAGTCTTACAGCTGCAGTCTAAAAGCTATCGGCTAAAGTCTAAAAGCTAAAGTCTAAAAGCTATCGACTAGCTTTATGAACGCAGCCCCAGGTGTGTGTGTGTGTGTGTGTGTGTGTGTTTTATTCTCATTCAGGTGGAGGAAATACCTTAATAATTACTTTCTCTAACATTATTATATCGTTTAGTTTAAGTAAACGCTCCCTTTCTACCTTCAGCATATTGTTTTAGTACGGTAACTCTTCTTTATTACCGTTAGCATTCTGGTTTCTGTTAGGTAACTCCTTTATGTTACAGGATGAATCCTCAGTTGATTGACTTGTTGTTTCTAGTCTCCTCCTGACTGAGTCCTGGAGCTGTGAGTTTCTCCTCTTCAGTGAAGCAGCTTTATTAATGTCTCCTATTGTCACAGACAAAGTAGCATTACATGGAAATACTCAAGTAAAGTAAAAGTACCTCTAAATAGTACTGAAGTACAGTACTTGAGTAAATGTACTTAGTTACTTCTCACCTCCGCTATGAACCTACGAAGTAGCTGTGGATTAGTTTTGTTGTGTCTGTCGGTCGTATTGAGTTGTCTTGTTTTGTGTCAGCTCTAGTTTTGTTGATTTATTTCAGAGACCCAGCCGGAGAAGGAGCACTGAGAGCAGCATGGACGAGAACAAAGAGACCCCTGGAGCTCAGGTCAGTGTGCACTTCATCACAATATATTCCTAATTCCAGCGTTTCCACCAGGCGGGCGTCTTGCCGTCATTTGATGCCCTTATTCAGCTCGGAACGCCCTGAACTCGAGCCGAGGGCGTCCAAAAGAGTTTTTATCGCTTGAAATAGGGCTGGGCGATTTTTTCGGTTTTAACGATTAATTTGCATTTTTACTTTCCTACGGTTTGTGAAATGGCTGAACCGAAAAATCGCGATTTAAAAACATTTCTAGACTCCGCAGATTTGTTTTGCTTTAAGGGACTCCGTAGTAGCTTACTCTCTCACTTTCCAGAACGCGCACAAAACTCAGCCACATTGCCTGTGACTACCCGATCTGCAGCTCTGTGTACACATATATCACTTAAATTATTCAATACATCCTTTGTACTGAAGTATTCAAGAGTAAATAAAGTAAATAAAGTTTAACATAAATGATTTGCTGTGGTTACAGACCCGTGTAAATCTCTGATACCACCCAATGAATGCATTGACTTGCTTGTAGAACCACGCTACACAAAACAGATAGCAACACCTATACAAACTATTTTTTTAAAAAGGGGCTACTGTATCGACCTATATAAACTATATAAATATATATATATTTTTTAAATACCAAAAATATCCTGCATTTTAGCCATGCCTCATTTTGCTCCATTTGCTTTTTCCAGCGCTGTTTTTGCAGGGGGCTGATTCTGTGAGCTGCAGCTGACCACGCCCCCCTGCAGGAGAGGGGAGCGTGCTCTGAGATCAGCTGATGGGCTGTCAGAAGAGGGGGAGAAAAAGAGATCTCAGTCCCCCGTGTTTTATTCTTATAGAAGTAAGAAGAGAAGTAATGGGGCAGAAACCCGGTCCAGACATAGACATCAAACGGCGACACATATTCAGTTGGCAGTTACTTTTGCATTAGGGCAGGGATATCTAGATACTTCCCAAGGTCTGACATCATGAAGTGTGCTACTTTTAAAGCAAGCGACAATGTTTTCAAATCTGTAATCAAAAAGCTCCTCGAAAACGCTATCGAAGCAGTTCCTGCCGTTGCTACGTTAGTTCAAACAGTAACAACGGACTATTTTTCTTAGCGGATGCTTGTCAATTTAAATCAATACATAAAATCATTTTCTAAATCCATAAAAGCATTTCAATTAATATTAGGAGTCATGTCGTTACTTTGTTGAGAATGTGGCCATGTGTAATAAGCGGGATGATGTGCACATTGCACAATGTGCCTTCATGCCGATCTAGATCCCTCCGCAAAGAAAAAAAAAAAACGGCTCGTTCGCGGGCGAGAGCCGGCTCCCGTCGTTCACTTAAAAGAGCCTTGGTCTGGTTTGTTTAGAAAAAAACAGAAAAAAATCGAGGTTTAAATCGAAAATTGTCCATTAGTTAGAAAAAAATCTCGATTTTATTTTTAGGCCAAATCGCCCAGCCCTAGCTTGAAATGACGAAAATGGAAAAAGGACGAGGACATCCCTCTGTTGGAGGGGCAAAGCAGTCTGGGGGGATTCTTTTCTCCTCCAGCAAAGCGTGTTCCTGTGATGGAAAGTGTACTGCCGGCGAGCCTTGGGGGTGCTGGAGCACGCGCGTGAACTGCGAGCACCGGAGCCTCGCAGCGGCGAAACTGAGGCTCTGGTAAACTGTGGTAAAATGAAGAGCCGTTTGGGAGCCGAAAGAGCCGGCTCTTCTTAGTGAGCCGAGCCAAATGATCCGACTCACTAAAAAGAGCCGTAATTCCCATCACTAATACGTAAAGAGATAGTATCTATAAGGGAAGGCTCAATTAAAGATTCAAGTCCAGGGTTTCCCTCACATAGACTTTATTTGGGCCGTCCAGGTTTAACGGCCACCAAAGTATATTTCGCGACCCATTCATTATTATTTTGTTTGTGTCCGCGAGCACGACGCCATCTGCAATCGATTTACTAGTGGACAATGATCCCTCGCTTGCTGTACCTGTTCGCTCTGCTATCGCGTGGAGGGTCTGCTAACAAGCGACCAACAGAAAGGTTAATGTTGTTGCACCTCACAAATGCCTAACACTGTTAAGGGGATCGACCGATATGGCTTTTTCAAGGCCGATACCGATTATTAGTAATCAAGGAGACCGATAACCGATATTTGGAACCGATATACATTTGCAGTAAAATCAGATAATCTTGGTGTCAAAAGGTGGAATAACACAAACTCCAACACAACTTCTTTGAAATGCATTTAAGCATATATTATGTTTAATGAACTTTTAAACATCTTACAACTGGTTTCCTCTCTGTGCCCTTTTCTTTAGTGCAGCCATCTGCAATGAGTTAGAGAGAGACAGAGAGTTCAAAGTGGGGCTGCAGGCTGACATCAATCAATGTTTATTTATATAGCCCAATATCACAAATGTTAAATTTGTCTCAGTGGTCTTCACAGTTTGTACAGAATATCAGTATGGCAATACGACACCCTCTGTCCTTAGACCCTCACATCGTAAAAGGAAAAACTTACGGAGAAAACCCACAGTTTTATTATTGTTGACATGCTTAACTAACGATAATGCTTAATTTATTATATCAAAACAATGCCTGTCTATCTAGCATAACATCCCAATAAGCTGCTAGCAACTGCAAAACACTAGTGCTAGCTAATGTTTTGCAAAATATTCAAAGTGAGGCTATTATAGTAGACCGTCAGTCTAGTAGCCTCACTTCTAATATTTTGCTAAACATTTGCTGGATACATGTTGGCTAGCTAATGAGCTTCACATATCAACCTGAAAAACTGCGAGGATCCACTCGCAGCCCCCCCCTCCGCACCACAGTTACTCCGCTGCGAGACGCTGCACGCACCCCCAACTCTGACTGACTTCCCGCGTCCCTGTGTAACTTGGAAACTGATAGAATTGGATCATAAGATCGTGGTGATTTTGCAACTTCAGCTGAGGGGATTGGGATGTTTATTGAACTTCGGCTTTCAACTGACTTACCTTCTAAACACATGTATGGCTCTGCCACTCAGCGCTGCTGCTTGCTTCAGTCTGTGTCTGCGTTCTTTCGCACCTGCCTGTAATTTGAGAAGGTCCCGCCTCTCTGGCTGGCTCCCGCCATGAAAATCTTCAGTGTTGATTGACACTTCAGTAATAGCCTATCAGATAGCGCTGTGGGCGAGACATTGCTCCTGGACACAGACGCCCCTTTCACACCAACGCCTGAAAAGTGCCGGTTTTTCCTGTTCACACCGCAGAGGCGCCGCCTCTTAGCTCCGGAATGCGGTTCACTTCCAGCTCCAAAAAATTGTCGGTCTAGAGGCAAGAGCTTCGGAGCTAAGAGGCGGCGTCGCTTACGTCGAGGCGTGCAGGAAACAAACAAAAAAAATTGTCGGTCTAGAGCAGGGGTGCCTAACCAGTCGATCACGATCGACCGGTCGATCGCGGGGAGATTCCCAGTCGATCGCGAGATGTGTCTAAAAATAGAACAACAATATTCTGTTTTATCGTTAATGTCCTATAACATACTCTTCCTGAGCCAGAATAATGCACTTGAACGCATCAAAGCTTTGTGATTGGCCGGCGTGACCCCATGTGTCGGGGCGTGGCTGGTGAGCAGTGGGCAGTGTGCACTAGTTCGCTAACGTTGTTCGTCTGTCAACAGGAGTGACAGTCCGCACACACACAAGACCGCAATTATGGCAGAAGCAAAACATATATAATTCTCATTCCGAGTGGGAGGATGATTATTTTTGTATCTATTCCAATTCAAAGTCCATCTGTCTCATCTGCAATGCGAGCGTGGCTTTATCGAAGAAGGGTAATTTAGGAGCGGCATTTCAAAACAGTGCACAAACGCTACGAGACGGAATTCCCTCCTAATTCTGCCCTACGCTCCCAAAAGGGGAGGGGCCTGAAAGGACAGCTAAATGCACAGCAGTCCATTTTCACCAGGCCCAACAACAAGAGCAAGGCTGCTACCAGAGCATCTTATCGTGCCAGTCACGTTCTTGCGAAACACATGAAGTCTTTTAAAGACGGCGACGTTGTGAAAGAAGCATTCCTGGAGGCTGCCGACGTGCTTTTTGGGGACAGTAAAAATAACAGAAGCATTTCAACAGGTTTTTGATATAATAAAACCTCAAGTTGGATACCGTTATTAATCAGCTGTAAGTTTGAGTTTGTTTGAACTTATTCATTATAATTATTGTACAAAATGGTATAAGAATGCAAACTTAAATTGATTATAGTCTATCATCAATTCAGGTTAAGAAACTAGTGTTGCTTGCATCCTATTTTAAAGGCAATTCTTTTTATAATCTACTAACATGCAACAAAAAAGGTTTGATTCTATTAATTTTGTCTTTTTTATTGCACTTTGTTAGCAGATTCCTGTGTAGCTTCAGATCTGAGTTGTCTTATTAGTAAGCCTAATTTATACTTTTGTTGCAACACTATTTTTATATAATGGCAAAGAAAGGGTTCAGAGTCTTTTCTTTTTTCCCTGTGTCATATGTGGCAGCACTGTTCAATGTTTCTTGAAAACATTACCCACTGTAGTATGTGAGGTGTGAATAAACTCCAACTCTGTATCAACAACACTGTTGTGTAACTTCAGTTAAATACTTGTATGTGTGTAGATTAGAAAGAGGTAAGATAAAGGATCTGCAGTATTTTATGAAGTATTAATCGTACAAAGGTCAGTTTTATACAAGTAGAAGTGTGTATTTACCTGGTAACCTGGCTGTCAGTAATGGCTACGCCTCTCTATTTGGACTGGTAGATCTCGGCAGACTGGCAACTTTAAATGTAGCTCTCGGTTCAAAAAAGGTTGGGCACCCCTGGTCTAGAGCATAGACTGTATATATAAATGGACGTAGTGCCCGTGACGTCACCCATAGGATTCTGCAGAGTTGCCGAGAAGCCCTTAGTAGGCGGAGTCGGCCACTAACGGCTTGACAGCAATGTCAGAGTCTAATCCCGCCTGCTCCAAATAAGGGCAAAGAGGCGGAGCCAAGGC